GCACCTGCAGGGGGACACAGACAAATAGAGAAAGCGTTAATTGAGTCAGCATAATCACATCGCGGAAGCGAAGGAGTGCGCGTCAGTGAGGACTCCATGTAGGTGCACTCAATGGAGTTGGGCCGAGTCAAGAAGGAGCATGCAGGCAGAGGCTGGGGCCACACCAGAGCACAGCAGTTCTTGTTTTGAGTTGACCCAAAATGAGGCTGCGGCCACACCAGAGCACAGGCACAGTTCTTCATACCTTGGAGGCAAAGACGCGCACCTCTGTGAGCTTAGTACGTGCACTCAATGACGTCCAGGGCAAGGCGGCATTCGAAATACTAATGCATGCAACCAGATGGTAGCACAGAGCACAGTACCTTGGAAGCAAAGAAGCGCGCCTCTGTGAGTTTCGACTCCACATGTGTGCACTCAACGACGTTGGGGGCAAGGGGGCTTTAGAGTTAATGCACGCAATCAAAGGGTGGCACAGAACAGAAAGGTTGGTACCTTGGAAGCAAAGAAGCGCGCCTCTGTGAGCTTCGACTCCACGTAGGTGCACTCAACAACGTCGGGGGCACCGTTCAAGGCCTTGAGGAGCGAGTCAGCAAACACTGCCGCCGCATAGCTGATGGTAGTGGGGAGGAAGGAAGAGAGCAAGGGGAGATTTGAGCATGCAACGGGACAGGTGGGCAGCAAAGACAACGTAGGTGCACTCAACAACGTCGGGGGCACCGTTCAAGGCCTTCAGGAGCGAGTCAGTTTTTGAGACGTCTCAAAAACGTTCATGGCCTTCAGGAGCAAGTCAGCAAACACTGCCGCCACGTAGCTGATGAAGGAAGTGGGGCCGGGAGGGGCGGTCAAAGAGAGGAATGGGCAATGAGAGGGTGGGGGAGCGCTCAATATGGTGTTGAGCAGCATGTCAGCAAGCTGTCTAGAGAGGGTGTTTTTGAGACGTCTCAAAAACACCCTCTCTACACGTGGCTATTGAGCAGCAAGTCAGCAAGCTGTCGCTGCATAGCTGATGGTGGTGGGGAGGGGAGAGGAAAGCGGGTGATTGAGTGAAGTGAGGGTACAGAAAAACTGTGAAGGAACACGAAGGGTAAGGAACCAGACGCAGGACCAGAGGGGGGCCGGAACACCCATTCTCTTTCTTGATTGGTTCCCCATCACTTCAAATTGTTTCCAGCACGTAAAATGTGACAGGGAAAGAGCAGCACACAGCAGAGGGGGCGGTGCTCACGCCATGGAGAGCGTGGCGGAGCCCTTGCCCGCCTTGGCCTGCAAAAAGCTGCCTGGCTTCTTGTTGCCTTCAGCACCCACTAACCAAAGGAGAGAGAGAGAGAGAGAGAGAGAGAGAGAGAGAGAGAGAGAGAGAGAGAGAGAGAGAGAGAGAGAGAAAGAAGAAGAGGCACTCACGCCATGGAGAGCGTGGCAGAGCCCTTGCCCGCCTTGGCTTGAACCACCTCACCAACTGCACCAACTCGCGTTCCACATGCTTCAGGTCTCACCACCCACAGACACACAGAAGATGAGAGCAAGTGAAGGGCACTCACGCCATGGAGAGCGTGGCAGAGCCCTTGCCCGCCTTGGCCTGCACCACCTCCGTGCCTCCATCCTGCGTGCGCTTGGTGAGCTGCTCCCTCTCCTCGTCTGACAGCTCCACGAAGGGAGTGGCCTGGGAGAAGAGCGGAATGATGGTGGCGCCCGCGTGCCCGCCCACCACCGGTATCCTCACATCTGCCAAGGGGAACAGACGAGGGAAGAGAGCACGTGAAATAGTGAGTGGGCGAAGGGGTAAGTGGAAGTGAGTGGGTGAGTGAGCGGGCGAGGGGGTAAGTGGGTGAGTGAGTGGGGGTGAGAGAGTGGGGGTTGAGAGGCACAGTGAGCAGCAGCCGAGGACAAACCCCTAACCCCAACCCCCTTTCCCCCTTTATCTTCACCAGCATTTTCCAGAACCCGAGTTGTCATCCCCCTCACCTCCGCGTCCCGCCCACTTGACCTTCCCTCCCAACTTCCACGCCCCAACCCTTGACCCATTACCCCTCACCTTCCGCGCCCCGCCACTTAATTTATTCTCCCCACCTTCTGTCCCGCCGTGACCTATTCCCCTTCTCCTTCCGCGTTGAGCCCCTTGGCCTCGGCGTAGAAGGTGCGCGCGCGCACAATGTCGAGCGTGGTGATTCCCGCCCAGGGTTTATCAGTAACCAGTGACTCGACTCAAGCGTACCCACCCCAGCCTACCCCAGTCTTTTACTCTTCTCACCTTCCGCGTTAAGCCCCTTGGCCTCGGCATAGAAGGTGCGCGCGCGCACAATGTCCAGGGTGGTGATGCCGAAGAGCTTCTCAGTGACTGCTCAATCGACCCAGGCGCAACCCCTTCATTCCCCTCACCTTCCGCATTGAGCCCCTTGGCTTCCGCGTAGAAGGTGCGCGCGCGCACAATGTCCAGGGTGGTGATACCAAAGAGCTTCTTGGGGTCGTACGTGCCCGCCTTGGCGAACACCTCCGCCGCGATGGGCACGGTCGAGGGGTGGAGGATGGTGATGCCTACGTGATTTCCAATTACTGCAGACTCGGACCACGCGCAACCCATCCCAGTTCGTCATCCCGCCCCTCCACTCGGTTACCCCCTCACCTTCCGCGTTAAGCCCCTTGGCCTCGGCGTAGAAGGTGCGCGCGCGCACGATGTCGAGCGTGGTGATGCCGAAGAGCTTCTTGGGGTCGTACGTGCCCGCCTTGGCAAAAACCTCCGCCGCGATGGGCACGGTCGAGTTCACGGGGTTGCTGATCATGCCCACCGCCGCCTGGAACGGAGCAAGGGAAAAAATGCCAAAGGGTTACAATGCAGTGAGTGAATGTGGTAACGGTGGTTGTAGCAGTGCCGGCTTTCTTAAAACGCTCCCACGCATCCGGCACGCGGAAGCTTGCGAGGTGACTTTTGAGTCGACTCAAAAGTCGCATCCGGCACGCGGAGGCTTGCGGGGATGGCTACGCACAGGCTTCTGGCGATGCTGCCTTATAAGTGACGCTCCCGAACGACACTTTCCAAGTTCCACAGGAACTAAAAATGCACCTAGGTAAAACCGTAAAACAACGCTCGAGCAGTGGCTTTAATCTTACCGAGCGTTAACCACCCCTAGAGCTTACCAGGTTTATGCAACATACTGATTGAAGATGCGACTATATATACCAAGCGTTTAACCGGCTTAAACCGCGGCTGAATCTGACCCAGCGTTTGTGCGATTCAAACCACCACCTAGATCTTACCGTGGGGCAGTGCTTGGAGATGGCTTCGCACAGCCCCTTCACGATGCCGGCTCACTGTCAAGAATTGCCGCCGGCCTAGATTTTACCGAGCGATAATGCACCAAGATCTTACCGTGGGGCAGTGCTTGGAGATGGCTTCGCACAGGCCCTTCACGATGCCTGCGTTAATGTTGAACAGGTCTTGCCGCGTCATGCCCGGCTTACGTGGCACGCCAGCGGGGATCAGCACCAGATCGCTGCCTTCCAGCGCTCCGGCAAGCTCGTCGGAGCCGAGATAGCCCTTCGCCTGTTTATCGGGATATAATAATAACGAGGACAACGTGAAATGAGTTTCATTGTACCTGCTAAGGCGTTTATCAAAATACGAGTCGAATCGCAGGGAAATCATCTGGATCAAAAGAAGTTGCTATGACCAGTAGGATAAGGTAAAACTTTGCAGGTCGATCTATCTACCAAGTTACTGATCTCTCAGCCTTACCTTGGCGTTGGAGCAGATGTGGCTGATGTCAGCAGCAACACCGTGAGTACCCGCCACATCGTACAGTGACAGATCCGTTACAAGCGGGCTCGACTTCATCAGAAGGCTCAGAGGCTGCCCGATGCCGCCGCCAGCACCCAGAACCGCCACCTTCCGAGGCTGTGCCGAGCCTGCCGCGGAGGACAGGGCTCGGCGGGCAAGAGGGATCGCATTCTTCAGGAAGGCCATTTTAGTGGGGATGGGGTGTAGAGGGAGGATGTGATGAGGCGACGCGGGGTGGAAGGGAGGAGAGATGAAGCGGTGGTATGGGAGGCGACTAAGGAGGATAGCTGCAGAGATGGCCTAGAACTGAAGAAGCGGAGATGGAATGGCGATCAATAGAGATCCCTGTGATGCGGGAAATGAGAAATCGATGGCTGTAAGGACCCTCCCTTGAGGAGAACGAACAGGATGAGGACTGACACAATAATTTTATACGGGTCAAGTTGACTGTAGTGTACAGAACTGTGAAGTTCACTGTAGCTTTTCCTGGACAGGGGAATCTCGAGGCCCAGTAGTTCCACGCTGGACGCACTGCGGGGATTTGGGAATACGTTTACCGCAGATTGGGTGCGAGGTCCGTTTCCGGCAAAAGAAAGCATGCCACGTGGGACAAATACCCAAGAAGTCCGGACAAAACGCGAGATTTGGGGCACCAGTGGGAAAATCCGCTCAGGCAAGAAACCAGGGAAATGTGTTTGATCTGTTTATGTACGAATTATTTTACCCAAAAATACTCTAACAGCGTCGACGTCTCTAATATCGGAACTCTTTAGGTGTTGCTCATCGATTGGCTGTTTGCTGTTCTTGGAATTTACGAACCGCGAATTCGCACGAGTCGCGAATGTCACAAAATTGAATTGGGTTGGGAATTGCGAGATTCAAGCCTGAAAAGCAACGCCTTCCTGTCTGCCTGCCTGTCACAAGAAATCACCACATCCACAAAAAGGCATTGCCAGCACACTGCTAGCACCAGCAGCTGCTGCTGCTGCAGGTGCTGGAATGACGTCAACCAACGCCAACCCGCGCAGTAGCAACAACGGCTGCAACCAGATGCATTGGTAGTCTCGCCGATTGTTTCACATTTCCTTTCGTGTGCACATACCGTTCAGTGATATCATCTGAGTCTAGCTTCAAACACACAAAAGCAGAGATTCATTTTTGCCATTCAGAAAGAGATTCTTCGTCTCAATTCACTCTGTCATAACTCCATCGGTTTTTTTCTCCGAGTATGTCGCAACACTTGAGCTCCGCCCATCTGATTTCCGCACACGTCACCCTGCAATGGCTACGTCAATTGGATAACGATCTTTGCAAGGGTGGCATATTGCAGCATAATGAACCATTTTCTCCATCTCCCTGAATTTATTTCCCCTCCAATCTCTACCATGTGTGTTAATGAAATAGTTCCTGCTGTTAAGAGGCATCTCAGTTATCGCTCTTTCCTCTACCAAATTCTTTCCTACTGATCAGTGGAGCGAATCACGCAGGCGCAGTACTGGCGGGAGATCAGCGTTGGCAACGGCAATGGTGCTACTACAAACAATTCCAATCCAATGGTGGAGAAAAACTCTACCCAGCACACTAACGGCCATGATCCGACGACCAAGATGATTAGCACTCAGGATCCAGTGCCTATCTCGGCCAAAACTACTATGACCAGCCCAAAAATTTCAAGATCGAATGGTAACGGTGTGGCGGTGGAACCAACCGCTGATAGGAATGGCCACTGTGGTCACTTTTTTAAGGCTGACTCCGTTGACAGCTTTGACTCAGTTGACCAAGATGACGGAGGGAAGCAGCCAGCTGTCATGTCAGTGGCGTCCATGATGTTGGATGCTCAGGCTGACCTGCTTGACTCCCTTGAACGCCCCGAGGTGAGCTTTGACTTTCTTGAATCCCTTGACTCATGTATGATCCTGCCCCTACTGTCCTGACCTTTCTGCTCTGTATCCTGCCGCTTTCCTCCCCAGATACTGAGTATCATCGACGGCGTGACACCATCGCCAGTGGAGCGACCCAAAGTGGTGGTGGAGCTGGGGGCGGGCATTGGCCGCTTCACTGCTGACCTGGCACGCAGAGCCACGTGGCTCACTGCCCTTGACTTCCTGCCACACGCCCTTGCTGCGGTCAGTCTCGGTTGTTCTGTGTGGTCCGTCTAGTTTTGTCATGGTAGAAGTGGGTTGACTGCGTTGACTGATTTGACTGAGCAGATTGGATTGACTGCGTTGACTGATTTGACTGAGCAGATTGGATTGACTGCTTTGGCTGGATTGAATGCGTTGACTAAACTGGATTCTGTATTGTCCAGTTGAGCTAACACCCAACTCTCCATCCGCATCCCCTGGCAGAATGTGCAAGCACATGCACGCCAGCACCCCAACGTGGACTTCGTCTGTGCTGACGTGGCAGATGCCACGTCAGCTGCTCTGCTGACTAGGCTGGCGCCTGACCTGGTGTTCTCCAATTGGCTGCTCATGTACCTCTCGGACTCTGAGGTACGGCAATCCCAAGAGCAAAGAGTCCAAAGAGCCAAGGCAAGGATTTTGTCTATCTTCTGACTCCCCCGCCTCCCCTGACTTCCTTGACATCCTTGACTCCTTGACTCCTTGACTCCTTGACTCCTTGACTCCTTGACTCGTTGACTCCTTGACTTGTTGACTCGTTGACTCCTTGACTCCTTGACTCATTGACTCGTTGACTCCTTGACTTGTTGACTCGTTGACTCCTTGACTTCCTTGACTTACTCGACTCGCTCACCTCCATTCGCCATCCGCATTCACTCTTTCCACCCTTTCTCTCTGGCCGCGCCTCCCCCCTCAAGCGCACTCACTTATCGTTTCCTGCACCCTCCTACACCTTCCCGCCCTCCCCCCCCACCATCCATCCACAGGTGCACGCATTGGAAAAGCTGTAGCTCCACTCCCTGCCCCCAGAGGGTCTCTTTTTCTTCCGCGAGTCATGCTTTGAGTAGTATGGCAGCCACCACTCCCACTCCCACCTACCCCATACTCCTCCCTCCAACCACCCATCCACAGGTGCACGCATTAGCAAAGTTGCTGCTCCACGCCCTGCCCCCCGGGGGCCTCTTTTTCTTCCGAGAGTCATGCCTGGAGCAGCCTGGAAGCCAGCACTTCCATTCCCAACTACCCCATCCCCATCTTTTCCCAAACCAACCACCCACAGGTGCATGCATTGGCCCGGGTCTTGCTGCACGCCCTGCCCCCCTGGGGCCTTTTCTTCTTCCGAGAGTCGTGCCTGGAGCAGTCTGGCAGCCAGCAGCGCCGCTCCAACCCCACCCATTACCGCCACCCGCTCTTCTACTGCCAGGTGGGCTTTACAACGCCTCAATTCGTTGGCACTCCCACACTCTTCCCCTGCTGAGTGCCATTACCTAGCCTAACCTCATCATATCCGCTCTTTCACACATGGATCATCTCACCTTGTAACACACGCCTCCTCCCCACCACTGTTCTCACTCCAGGCCTTCTCTGAAGCTCATTGTCCAATCCACCAGAGCCAGAGCCAGCCGCAGCAGCAGTATGAGGAGCAGGATGAGGGAGGGGAGTGGAGGTTCAGGCTGAGGGAGATGAGGAGCGTTGCAGCATACTCTCATGTGAAGGGGTGCCAGACGCAGGTGTGCTGGGTGTGGCAGAAGGTGCAGCACACTACACAGAGCAAGAGGCTGGAGCGAGAGGGAGCACTGGTCGGGGAGGAGAGCAGAGTGGGCAAGACGAGAGAAGGGAAGGAGAGGGAGGAGCAGCAGCAGTACAGCCTGGAGGGCATTCTTTGCTACGAACACATCTACGGGCGTGGTTTTGTCAGCACTGGCGGCCGTGGTGAGTCGATGTGGTGGAGTCAACGGAAGTCAACGTGGTGGGGCCAGCAGGACCCAGTTTCGCTCCCAGATTCCCATCTATGCTGCACTTCTCCTTCTAATAATTTGGAATCCCAGAACCTGGATTCTTCCAAACCTGCCTCCCCCCTCTCGCACCCTCCAAACCCTACCGCCCTGCCACCCCTACAGCTTCGACGCTCGCTCTCCTGCCGCTGCTCTCTCTCACCCCCGAGAAACGAGTGCTGGATGTGGGGTGTGGGCTGGGGGGAAGTGCGCTGCTCATGGCTGAGACCTATGGCGCTAGCGTGCATGCCATCGACGTCTCCCCCACCATGGTACAGTGTTTTACACATCCATGCATATGCACATACACATGCGCACACACACAGCCGCACACGCAGGCGTGCACACATACACACACAAGCACACACAGATCTACCCACACATCTGCTACGAAGCCCAAACAGAATGCTATCATTCTGTTGCCTCCTCTGCAGCCATTGCTCCCCACTTAGGGGGAAAAAAGAAGGCGTTGATTGTGGAAAAAACTCTGGGATTGGCCTTAAGTTCGGCCGGAAGAGCTACAAACAAAACTGCTTGGGAGGTTGTGGGTGTGTTGGCCCACCACGCAAACGTCTCATTTTGCTTGTCGCCCTTTTGGCCGATCCCCTGGTCAATCCCAGTGTTCTTTCCACATTGCTCTTACCTCCCCCATCTTCCCCCCCCTCCTCCCCTCGCCCTCCTCTCTCTATCTCAACATGCACCCTACCCCACACCGATCTTTCACTCCCACCCGCTCAACCAGGTCTCTCTCGCCATCGAGCGATCCCGCAAGATCCGTGCAGCCGATGCCACATCAGCACCCACGTCCGCACTCGTGTCAGCGTCCGTGCCCATGTTGCAGTTCGAAGTGGCCGACTGCCTGACCAGAAACTTCCCCCATGCTTCCTTCGACTGCATCTACACCCGCGACACGCTGCTGCACATCCAGGCAAGCCGGGGTCATGCAGGTTTCGAGCAGCCATTTTAATTTCCAGTGACCAGAATGCAAGTTGTCAGACTATAATTTCTAAGTTGCCTTACTGATTGGCTTCAGTTGTAATCCGTGTCTCGTGATTCCAATTGCGCATGCCACCCTTGCCCTCACTACACGTCAATCACACCATACCCTCATTACAGGACAAGCCTTTCCTGTTCTCCCGCTTCCACCGCTGGCTGAAACCGGGCGGCAGAGTGCTGATCACAGACTACTGTAGCGGAAAGGACAAAGTGGAGGAGTGGTCTGAGGAGTTCAGGGGTTACGTGGCGCAACGGGGTTACCACCTGGTCACCATTAGGCGCTACAGTGAAGTAAGCTTTGTCACAAACCTTTTGTCTAAGAAACGAGTTCTTCTTACACTGATGTTGATGCGAGAGCTCTGTGGTCACGTTTGTTTCTACAGTTTACCACACACTCTTCTGCCCTTCACCCTGGCAGATGCTACAGGCAGATGGTTTCCACGTACTCAAGGCCATGAACCGATGTGCACACTTTTCTGCACTTCTCCACTTCTGCACACCTCCACTGCCGCCTCAGTCCTGTTCACATGTGCGCACTCTTTCTGGTCCTCTGCCCTGGCAGATGCTCCAGGCAGCTGGTTTCCACGTACTCAAGGCCGAGAACCGATCCCACCAGGTGAGATGAGAGCAGCACGTGGGATGGCAGCAGGTGGGATACTGGGTCAGCCTTGATTTGAGTCAATTCAAATCTAAGCAATCGTTCCTCACTGTTGTGACAGCATTCCGTGTACAAACCCATGCATCTCCACACCCATCTTGTCTCGTACTCCATCTTTCCTCCTCCCCCTCACCCCCACCCACCTTGCACTCCTAATGCTCAATTCCCTGGCATCCTGATACCAACAGTGGGCAGGAATCTGCGTCTCTCCTTCTCCCTTTCCCCCTCTTCCCCACGTTTTTCCTTTGCCCCTCTTCCATTCTTCCCCCTCTGTCACCCATGTTGCTCAGTTCCTGGACATTCTGGAGGAGAAGGCCCGAGTTCTGTCTGATACCACTGTGGCCAGAAATCTGCATCTTTCCTTCTCCCTTCCCCTTTTTTCCCCTCCTCTTCAACCCATGTTGCTCAGTTCCTTGACATTCTGGAGGAGGAGAAGGCCCGAGTTTTGTATGATACTACATGTAGCGCCCAGAAATCAGAATGGGTGAGTTTTGCCCATGTCAGAGTTTGTTGGCTGCAGTTTCGCGATTGTCACTAAGCCTTTGCAGCGAATGGGACGGAACCACATGTGCCACAGAGTGTTACGTTCGTTTGTTGTCTCATGCCACCCTTGTCTTTGCGCCTCTCGCGTCAAGGGACACTTCAAGCCATATCTCCACCATTTGTTATCCCCTGCCTATCCAGACGCACGCACGCCAACGAGCCGACCATCAGGATGAGCAGCTGCTGGCGGGATGGACGGCCAAGATGAGGCGAGTGCGGGACGGCGACCAGGCCTGGGGGCTGTTTCTGGTGGAAAAGCAGGAGTGAGGTGCGGTGTGGTGCGGTGGGGCTAGGTGAGGTGCAGTGAGGTGTCACTGAGGGCTCCTGGAATTCATGACTCAGCTGAGGGATATGCTAGGGGGCATATTCTGATGAGGGAAGGCATTGAGCTGTGGGGACCGTTGATATACGGGTGGGAGGGTGAAGAAAGAGTAGACTGTTTGTGCCGCACTGCATCACACATGCCATGGTGCTTGTGCTACCAGGAGAACGTTCTGGCCAGGAAAATTGAAGAGAGGGTGGACTGTTTGTCAACAAGATTACCTTAGAGCAAGCATGTAGAATAGAGGTGTGAGGATGTCATGTGCATTTAGGTTCCTTGTTTTGCACTTGTAAGGAGAACAAGTGTACTGAGCAAGTGTACTGAGCAAGTTCTTTCTGGGTTGCTCTGATTTTTTCTTACACAAGTTACACATCACCTTACAAAGCAATCATACAGACAGTACCGCCCACACAAATCCCAAACTGCGTTCAAATCCAAAGCAGTTTCACCCAGCAAACCTCACAGCTGAAGCTGGCCAGCATGCCATCCCATGCCACGTCCTGAAGCTAGCGCCCTGCCATTTGCTGCCATGCCCTGCCATTTGCTGCCATGCCCTGCCATGCGCTGCCATGCCCTGCCATTTGCTGCCATGCCCTGCCATTTGCTGCCATGCCCTGCCATGCGCTGCCATGCCCTGAGACGCCTAGAGTCGTTCACTTGAAAACGTGTCCCCCTCTAAGGCGTGTCAAGAGCCGATGACTCGAAACTGCATCCATAAATATGCCTGCCGAGGCGTGGATCTCAGACAGATGGAATCACCCGCCACTGCGCCCCCCTTGCAGGATGGACCCCCTTTGCGGTGCACCCCTCCCTGTGTGGATCTTCATTCACTTGTGCGGGCTGGCAGGTGAGGCAACCATGGAGTCATGCACGAAGTTGCGCGCCCACTCCTCCTCTCCTCCCATCGCCACCAACTCCTGTGAACGCATGTGTGAAACGGGTGTGTGAGTGAGAGGGAGAGAGAGTGAGTGTGTACCATGAGGACCTTGAGAATATACATTCTCCCAGTGCCCACCAGCGTCACCAACCCCTCCCGCCCTTTCCTCAGCCCACTTGCCCAACCTACCCTTACAGCCTTCCCTTACAGCCTTCCCACACTATCCTCCCTTCCCTCCAGCCCTTCACTCCACACCAACCCCACTGTCCCCTCCTTTGCAGCTCACCTGCACAAGCAGATGCATGCCTGCCTGCTGCTGCTTCACGAGCTGACTTTTGAGTCGACTCAAAAGGTTGCATGCCTGCCTGCCGCTGCTTCACGGGTATGGGCTCGTCAATGTAAAGGAAGATGGCCCTCCTCCTGCCTGCCTGCTCCTCCTGCCGGATGGCCCTTTTTCCAACAGCACCTTCCCCCCTCCCTCCCCTCCCCTCCCTCCCTCCCTCCCACTACAATCACCCTTTCACCCTTCCCACTGCCTGCGCTCACCTGCACGAGCAGCTGCATGCCCGCCTGCTGCTCCTTGACGGGGATGGAGTCGTCGATGTAGGCATGCTGGATGGCCCTCGCATACGACTGCAATGCCTCCTTGCTCACGGCCTGCCAAAGAGCGGGCATGAAGATTTGCAGCGAGGCAGTCGGGCGCAGAGGAGGGGAAGGGGAGATTGAGTGGGATGTACTGAAGCACTGATGCGCACTAGCACACTAAATCAGTGGTTGATGAGTTTTGAGACGTCTCAAAAATACACTTTTTACACGTGGGATGTACTGCAGCACTGATGCGCACTGAATCGGCGGTGGATGACTGTTGCGCGTGTCTGTTGCCAAGGCATTGTGAAGCATCAGCATCAGCATCAGCATCAGCAGCACATTATGGCTTGAACAAAACACACGATGCCACATCCACTGCTCCCCTGCTCTTCAGGTGTTCTTGTGAATACAAACAAGCACAGTACTTGCCTTCTTGCCTGCCTTGCCAACACCAGCAGCAGTGCTCGTCTTAGCAGCAGCAGCGGCATCAGCAGCCGCCAGGGCAGGCTTGAGAAGAGCCTCGGTCACATGCTTCCGTGCCCACTGCTCCTCCGCTCCCTTGCTCACCAGGTCCTGTGGCGGAGCGAGAATAGGGGAGCAGCATGGGGAGTCAAAAAAGGAGAAAAGGGGTGAGAACGAGGAAATGAGAGGTAGCAACAGATAGGATGGGGAGAGAAAAAGGGAGAAGTTTTAGGAGCCTAATTCTGCAAAAACGATGATGACTGGAGAAAGAGAGCGTAAACGAGTGACAAGGAGGGTCATAAAATGACTTACCAGCACGAGAGCGTTGACTCCTCGGGTCTGTTCCAGGGCCGGACCCCTCACGTCCACATATGCAGGGAAGATGGCCCGCGCATACACCTTCAGATCGCCCTCCCTCATGCCCCCCGCCCTCTCCTGCTCCTGCTGCTTCTTGCTCACAGCAACCTTCCCACTCTTCCTCCCTTGCTCCGTTTCTGTCGCTGCTTTGCCTGCCACTGCTTCTGTTCCTGCTACAGCTGCCCCCTTACTAGGCGCTACAGCCGGCACCACCAGTCCCGCCAGTCCATCTGTCTTCACGCGATTGGCTGCAGCCATGGCAGTGGCAAGGGCCTTCTCGGCAATGGAGAGCTGCGATTGGCTGGATCCGAGCTTGCCCTCCAGCTCAGCCACCTTCTTTCTCAGCGCGGCCTTGTGGCGGTCGGCGTCTTTCGTCTGCTTGTCCAGCTCAGCGCGCAGCTGAACCACCTTGGCACCCTCCTCCTTGGCCCGTTGCTCGGCAAACGCCAGAGACGAGCGAAGGTCGGCGATCGTCGTCTCATTCTCCGCCTTGAGAGTCGCCAGCTGCTTCTCCAGCCAATCACACGCCTCCATGTATTTCTGCTTCTCCTCCTCGGCCCTCCTCAGCTCCCCCTCCAGCCTGGATTCCACCCCCGCCAGCTCAGCAGCCGCCCGGTTTTTTCTGCGCCGCCAGCTCAGCCTCGCGGTTCCGGATCTGCTGCACCAGCGCGCCCTCCCGCTGCTCGAATACTGCCGAAACCTGCCGGCCGCTCTCCTCCATGCGGGCGGCCTGGGTGGCAAGGTCGCGGTTTTGCTGCAAGACGGATTCGAGTCGTGCTTTTAGCTCTGCGTTGTTTTTAAAGATTTCTGTCCGGGTCTGTGCTGCTTGCTGCAGTTTTGCTTCCAATGCTGCCAGCCGAGCCTCCACCACCACCACCGCTGCCTGTGCTTCGTCCCTCTCCTTCTGCAGAGAACAAAGATGGGCAAGTGAAATGAGGGAGAATGAGGTCTGCCTGGGTCTGTGCTGCTTGCTGCAGCGTGGCTTCCAGTGCTGCTAACCTCCCCTCCACCACCTGTGCTGCTTGCTGCAGCGTGGCTTCCAGTGCTGCCAGCCTCGCCTCCACCACCACCACCGCTGCCAAGGCTTCATCTCTCTCCTTCTGCAATGGGACAACAGGGAGTATGTAGTAAGGGGAGAAATTAGGGTATGGGTTTGTGATTCTGAAACGTGATAGTTTCCTGAGGCATGAGTCACGTTTGAGTCGACTCAAAAGTCACCTCGTTAGCATGATAGATTCCTGACGCATGAGTGCCGAATGAGGAAGGGAGGACAGCTAGCCAAGCATCAGAATGCTTCCAGGTCACGGGTGGCTGAGTGGGTGGTTGAGTGGGTGGGTGGGTGCGGGCCTTGACTTGCATGCACGCATGCAAGCACACACCTACACATACATTCCCACATGCACCCACACATCCATTCACGCAAGCACCCCCACACCCACCTTCACGCCCTCAAGCCGGGCGGTGTAAGTCATCTTCTCCTGTGCGCTCTCCGCCTGCGCCCGCCTGAGCGCCTCCTCCCTTTCACCCAGTGTGACCTCGGCGGCTCTCAGCTGTGCCCTCATCGCCTCTGCTGCCGCCACCTGCTGCTGCTGCCGGGATTTAGCTGATGCCAGGCTGGCTTGGAGCGACTGGTTGTCCGTGAGTGCTGCCTGCACCTTGGACGCCAGCTGGGGGTGGGGAATAAGAGGGAACAGAGAGAGAGTGGGAATGAGGGGGCGTGGAATGGGGGGAGGGGAGAGTGGGGAATGGGGGGGGGGAGGGGAGAGTGGGGAATGGGGGGAGGGGAGAGTGGGGAATGGGGGGGGGGAGGGGGAGTGGGGAATGGGGGGAGGGGAGAGTGGGGAATGGGGGGAGGGGAGAGTGGGGAATGGGGGGAGGGGAGAGTGGGGAATGGGGGGGGGGAGAGTGGGGAATGGGGGGAGGGGAGAGTGGGGAATGGGGGGAGGGGGAGAGTGGGGAATGGGGGGAGGGGAGAGTGGGGAATGGGGGGAGGGGAGAGTGGGGAATGGGGGGAGGGGAGAGTGGGGAATGGGGGAGGGGAGAGTGGGGAATGGGGGGGGGGGGGAGAGTGGGGAATGGGGGGAGGGGAGAGTGGGGAATGGGGGGAGGGGAGAGTGGGGAATGGGGGGAGGGAGAGTGGGGAATGGGGGGAGGGAGAGTGGGGAATGGGGGAGGGGAGAGTGGGGAATGGGGGGAGGGGAGAGTGGGGGGGGGAGGGGAGAGTGGGGATGGGGGAGGGGAGTGGGGAATGGGGGGAGGGGAGAGTGGGGAATGGGGGGAGGGGAGAGTGGGGAATGGGGGGAGGGGAGAGTGGGGAATGGGGGGAGGGGAGGGGGAGAGTGGGGAATGGGGGAGGGGAGAGTGGGGAATGGGGGAGGGGGGGAGGGGAGAGTGGGGAATGGGGGGAGGGGGGAGAGGGGGAATGGGGGGAGGGGGAGTGGGGGAATGGGGGAGGGGAGAGTGGGCTAGGAATGGGGGGAGGGGAGAGAGCAGCAGGAAGAGGGGAATGGGGAGAGGGCTTTCGGTTGAACTCTCATTGCCTCTGCTCTGAGCTTTGCCTCAGCTGAACTCTCTTCTGACCTTCTCCTCTCACCTTCGCTCTCCTCTCACCTTTAGAGCGTCTGTATCCGCAGTCAGGTTCCCCAGGGCACGGCAGACAGCGACGTGACTTTTGAGTCGACTGCAAAGTCAGCGACGCCACTTCCTGCGTCTGAGGCGCCTCAAAAGTTCTCCCCTCGTGCGCCCATTTCGCTCTCGCTCGCTCTTACCTTATCCTTGGATTGTTTCAGGGCGTCTGTGTCGGTAGTCAGGCTCCCCAGGGCGGCAGACAAGCGACGCCACTTCCTGCCTTTGAGGCACTTCAAAAGTCTTCCCCTTGTGCGCCCATCTCACTCACTCGTTCGCTCGCACTACTCTCATCGCTCTCACCTTCTCCTTGGACTGCTTCAGAGCGTCTGTATCCGCTGTCAGGTTCCCCAGGGCGGCAGACAGCGATGCCACTTCCTGCTGCAGTCCGCCCATCGCTTCAGAGCCTCAGAGGTCCCTCTCACAGCTCCCTTCATGCGCGCCCATGTCACCTTCTCTCTCTCTCTCACCTTCTCTTTAGACTGCTTCAGGGCATCAGTATCAGCCGTGAGGTTCCCCAGAGCAGCAGACAGAGACGCCACTTGCTGCTGCAGTCCGCCCATGGCCGCCCGGGACTCGCTCCGCTCCGCCTGCAGCCGCCCGTTGGCCGCCCGCAGCTCCTCCAGCTTCTGGGCGGCCGCCTGCGCCGCCCGCTTGCTGGCCTGCAGCGACTGGTTCAGATCCGCCGCCCGGGCCTGCAGCGCCTGCGACCGGGCGGCCTCGGCCTGCAGCGCGAGGGTGGCGCGTTTTGTCTTCACCTCCTTGCCTCGGACAAAATCCACCAACCGGCTGATCAGCGACTGTTTTTTCACCAGCACCACCTCCTCCTCTCCTCCCTCTCCTTCTCCCTCTCCTCTCTCTCCCTCTCCCCCATTCCCTCCGAAGGTCAACTGGGCTGCCCCCCCCTGCCCTCCCAGTTGCTTGGCGCCCTGGTTTCCCCTTGCCTTGAACAGCCCCGTACCGGCAATTCGAGCAGCAAAGGAGGGCGCGGAGGAAGAGGGAGAAGAGGCGGAAGGAGGAGGAAGCTGAGAAAGAGGAAGGGGAGAAGGAGGAGGAGGAGGAAGAGGCGGAGGCGGAGGCGGAGGCGAGGGAGGGAGCAGCAGCGACGGTGGTGTCGGCAACAAGCTGTTGCAGCTGCAGCTGAAGGTCGGAGTCAGCGGGAGAGTCAAAGCCCCTGATGCTGTCCACTATGCTGTCGATTCCTGATTGCACTCGCGCTCGTGCTGAACGGGTAAGGGTGAGAAGGGGGGGAGAAGGGGGGAAAGGGAGGGGGGAAGCGAGGGGGAGCAGGAGAGGCATCAGCGACGGTGGTGTCGGCAACGAGTTGTTGCAGCTGCAGCTGAAGGTCGGAGTCAGTTGGGGGATCAAAACCCCTGATGCTCTCCACTATGCTGTCTATTCCCGCCTGCACCCGCGCTCGTGCTGGAGGGGTGGCGATGGAGAGGAGGGGCACATGAGGGAGCGACGGAGGAGAGGGGGTTGAGGAGAAAGAGAACGTGGGCGAGTCAAAACCCTGCGGCGCTCGCGCTGGGGGGGGGAGAGGAGATGGAGAGGAGGGAGGGCGATGGGAGGGGGGGGTGAGAGGAGGATGTACTGAAAGAGTGGCATGGCATGGCATGGCATGGCATGGCATGGCATGGCATGGCATGAGACTGGATGATAGGGGCGTATCAGCAGCTTCAAGTCAGGGAAGAATCAGGTAATCTGATCTGCCCGCAACCACCATCCCATCCCCGTGCACCCAACGCGAATGTGCACACCACGTGGCAACCCTGCGTGCACACCACGTGGCAACCCTGTGCACGCACCACGTGGCAGCCCTGTGCACGCACCACGTGGCAGCCCTGTGCACGCACCACGTGGCAGCCTGTGCGCACTGCACTTACCTGGTCCCCCGCGCACGTAGGAGGAGAGGAAGTTGAGCGCGACGCCCGTGCCCACCAGCACTTCGAGGTTCCCGCCCCCATACCCCCGTTCCCCCCATCAAGCCCGCCCCCCATACCCCCGTTCCCCCATCAAGCCCCCCCCGTTCCCCCATCAAGCCCGCCCCCATTACCCCCGTTCCCCCGCAAGCCGCCGCCCGCCCCCATACCCCCGTTCCCCCATCAAGCCCGCCCCCATACCCCCGTTCCCCCATCAAGCCCGCCCCCATACCCCGTTCCCCCATCAAGCCCGCCCCCATACCCCCGTTCCCCCATCAAGCCCGCCCCATACCCCCGTTCCCCCATCAAGCCCGCCCCCATACCCCCGTTCCCCCATCAAGCCCGCCCCCATACCCCCGTTCCCCCATCAAGCCCCCCCCATACCCCCGTTCCCCCATCAAGCCCGCCCCCATACCCCCGTTCCCCCATCAAGCCCGCCCCCATACCCCCGTTCCCCCATCAAGCCCGCCCCCATACCCCCGTTCCCCCATCAAGCCCGCCCCCATACCCCGTTCCCCCATCAAGCCCGCCCCCATACCCCCGTTCCCCCATCAAGCCCGCCCCCATACCCCCGTTCCCCCATCAAGCCCGCCCCCATACCCCCGTTCCCCCATCAAGCCCGCCCCCATACCCCCGTTCCCCCATCAAGCCCGCCCCCATACCCCCGTTCCCCCATCAAGCCCGCCCCCATACCCCCGTTCCCCCATCAAGCCCGCCCCCATACCCCCGTTCCCCCATCAAGCCCGCCCCCATACCCCCGTTCCCCCATCAAGCCCGCCCCCATACCCCCGTTCCCCCATCAAGCCCGCCCCCATACCCCCGTTCCCCCATCAAGCCCGCCCCCATACCCCCGTTCCCCCATCAAGCCCGCCCCCATACCCCCGTTCCCCCATCAAGCCCGCCCCCATACCCCCGTTCCCCCATCAAGCCCGCCCCCATACCCCCGTTCCCCCATCAAGCCCGCCCCCATACCCCCGTTCCCCCATCAAGCCCGCCCCCATACCCCCGTTCCCCCATCAAGCCCGCCCCCATACCCCCGTTCCCCCATCAAGCCCGCCCCCATACCCCCGTTCCCCCATCAAGCCCGCCCCCATACCCCCGTTCCCCCATCAAGCCCGCCCCCATACCCCCGTTCCCCCATCAAGCCCGCCCCCATACCCCCGTTCCCCCATCAAGCCCGCCCCCATACCCCCCTTCCCCCATCAAGCCCGCCCCCTTGCCCGCAACCTTGCCCGCCCCTGTGCCCACCGCCCCCTTTCCCCGTGATAGTGCACTCACCCGGGCCTCCGCGCACGTAGGAGGAGAGGAAGTTGAGCGCCACGCCCGTACCCACCAGGACCTCGAGATCCGCTAAGAACGGCACCTTGTCCAGCGCCTGGGGGGATAGTGGTGGGGCGGGGATTGAATACGGGGAAGAGGGTAGGGAGAGGAAGGGCAGTGAGTGGGGGAAGGGGGGATGGAGAAGTTGTGCGCCACGCCCGTGCCCACCAGCACCTCGAGATCCGCCAGGAACGGCACCTTGTCCAGCGCCTGGAGGTGTGCGGGGAGAGGGAAAGGGGGAGAGCGGGAAGGGGGAAGGGGTAAGGGGAAAAGGGAAGGGGAAGGGGCGCTGGGGAAGTTGAGTTGAGCGCAGCGCCCGTGCCCACCAGCACCTCGAGATCCGCCAGGAAGGGCACCTTGTCGAGCGCCTGGGGGGATGGGGGAGAAGGAAGGGGGGGGGAAGAGGGAGGGGGAGGGGGAGAGGGAGGGGGAGGGTGGGGGGAAGGGGAAGGGAAAGGGGGAGGGTTAATGGAGGGGGAGCGATGAGGAGAGAGGGATGGGAATTACTTGATTGTTTAGTGTAAAATAAGCCTTGCTTATTGAGCCAAGTTGACCAGTAAGCGAGTTACCAAGGCAGCGAGTCAAGCAGAGTGAAGCAGAGTCAAGCGAGTCAACGCAGGGACTCACCTCGAGCACCTGCGCGCTGACTTGCACGCCCACTGCTGCTGCGGCCGCCCCTGCGATCCACATGCCCGCCTGCTTCCACTGCGAGTGAAAAGGTACGACGGGAGGGAGGGCGGGACGGAGGGAGAGATGGAGGGAGGGAGAAGGGACGGAAAGGAAAATGGCCAAGTTAAATGAAACAAGGAGGGGACGGGCGGGAGTGAGAGTCGAGAGGGAAAGGGAACGCTGGGGGGAAGTCCCAGCTTTCCCTTTCCCAGCGTTCTACGGGAGAACACTGGGAAGAGACTCCTCAACACCCCCCCATTCCCCCTTATCCCCAAAAATCCCCCAGTTTCCCCCAAGCCCCCAACACTTTCCCCCCTCCGCCAGCCTTCAACGCCCCCCCTTTCCCCCCCATTCCTCCCCTCTTCCCCCCTTCCCCCGACCAATGCGCGCACCAGGGGCCGTTTCCGGCCGGATCTGGAGAAGTTCGCGAAGAGGCGGCGAGTGGCCGGCTCGCGCGGGATGGGCGCGGAAGGTGCGCGCGGCACTGTGGCGATCGCCCTGCCCTTGCTGCTGCTGCTGCTGCTGCTGCTGCTGCTGGTGCTGCTGCTGGTGGTGGTGTTGGTGCTGTGAGCATTGTGGTGAGAGTGGGAGGTGTGCTGAGGCTCCGATTGGCTGATGGAGGCACGAATGGGAGGGCGGGAGGGAGGGAAGGGGAGGAGGGGGAAGGGAGGGACGGAAAAGGAGGGAGGGGGAGGGACGGGGGGTGGGGGGAGGGAGGGAGGAAAGAAGGGATGGAGGTGAGGTGAGCATTGCTGGAGAGCAATGGCTGGAAAACGAGGGCTGTACGGCATATGCAGCAGTAGGAGGCCGTTTTTACTCCTTTTTTTTATTTTTATTTTTAATTGGGCTGGATTGGGAGTAGGGCGAGAGATTTCGAAGGGAAGTGACGCCAAAAAAAAAAAAGGAAGAAGAAGTGGAAAAAAAAAAAAAAAAAAACACGCTTGGGAAGGGAGAGGGGCGCATTGGAGTACGATACGAAACAATACGGTGCAATGGGATCGGATAGGATGCGAAAAGATACGGTGCGAGAGGATACGATGGAATTCGGGCACGCACCGTTTGGAGGGCTTGGTGGAGGGGACGACTGCCGCCGTCCATCTGGGAGTGGTGCGCTTGAACGCTGGCGCGGACGACACGGGAGGGAGAGGGGGACGGGGGGAAGGGGGCGGTGGGCGGAAGAGAGGGGGAAAAAAGGTGGGGCGGGTTGAGTCGACTTAAAGGGGGACGACAGCAGCGTCCATCTGGGAGTGGTGCGCTTGAACGCTGGCGCGGATGACACGGGAGGGAGAGGGGGACGGGGGGAAGGGGAGGGGGGTTGGAAACGACGCAAATAAAGAACGGGAGATGTACGCGGAGCAAACAGCCGGAGAGACACGTGAGTGAACGACGCATGCGCGACACATGAGTGAACGATGCAAGTCTCGCGGAGTGCCTGCGTCGTCCGTGTACAGTCCACTACGCGCCCACTACTACGGCTCTGTCCGTCATTCTGCCCACACGTATTTGGCCCCGTTGACGCGTTCCCGAAATACGCCTACATTTGCGTTAAGTCATCCCTACTGCAGTTTATGTCTCCTTCCGTTAACATCTGTTTCCGTTTATGTCTACTTACGTACATGACTCTCGAATCGCCATACTCCTTTCTGCGGCCCAAGCATAACCTCGTTTCGTCAAGCTAGTTACTTCTGCGTTCCCCATTTCGTCGAGCTACAACTTACTATGTCCCCATTTCGGCTTCGCGGTGGCGGAAAGGAGTTTGCGCCAGCGCTCATCGCTGTGCAGCGCGCTGCTCCCCGCGCCCATGCGCCCGCTTGCGCCAATGCGGCTGCGTGCGCTGGGGCAGGGCGCGAGGCTCACGCGGCGACTCCTGACGCTCTCGCGGCTCTGCGCGGCAGATCTCGCCGCGGAAATCGCGCGGCTGCTTGGGGCGCCGGGCAAGCATAACTGCGCCTGCACCTGGAGAACGATGAGGGCCGCCATTCCGCCGTGCTTTGCGGCCGCTTAGAGTCTCCGCCTCCTATACGCACGCAAATCTCACTAACGAATTATAGTAGTCTAGACCCCACCCCCTCTCCTCTGCCGTTCCCTCACGTGACGAGATCCGCTCTTATGAGCATCAAAAAGAATGCTTGGGATGAGACAGCCGCCCCTTGATTGTTGGCTTGGATAAGCGGGAGGGAGGGGGGAAAGGGGGAGGGACAAGCGGGGAAGGTTTCGGGGGTCAGGAGGTAAGGCACCCTGGCGTGGGGTGGGGGGAAGGGGGGGAGCCTTGGGGGCGAGCGGGAATTGGAGGAAACGGTTGATGAGATCCATTTGATTGGCGGGATCGGAGAGCGGGAAAAATGGATGTGGTGTGGAGCGGAATGGGAACGGGGGGGAAACGAGAGGCAAGGAAGAGGTGCAGTACAAGACAAACGGGGTGAGCGCGAGAAATGGTGCGAGAGCGGGGGAAACGGGGCGAATGGGAGAAAAGGGTCGAGGATGGAAGGGATGGGAAGGGATAAGAAGAGATGGGAAGGGATTGGAAGGGATGGGAAAAGGATAGGAAGAGATGGGAAGGGATGGGAAGGGATGGGATGGGAATGGGGAACAGGGAGACTAACACCGCCACGCGACCAGAGGCGGGCAGTGCAAACAGAAATACAGTACAGATGCCCACACATATCTGCCCAAAACGAATCAACTGGTGCGATGTTTCGCAAACCAAGCGCGATTACAGTTTAGCCGAGCGTAAACTCCAATTCTATCACACATATCTGCCCAAAACCATGTTCCCCATCTCCCCTAGCGCTTGGCGCCAGCAGTGCACCGAACGAGGGAGAGGAGGAGGTGGTTGCTGCAAAGATCCGCTCCACGCAATTGACACGTAAACATCGCATCCGCGATACGCCACGTCAGATTCGAATCTAGTTGAGTACACGGACTGCCTGTAATAATCGTACAGCCTACAAAATGCATTATCCATATATACGTCTTATGTTTGTTGAGGCCCAGTCGTGGAGGCAGCTGCTTTAGAGTCAAGCAAAAGAAGCATGTTATAGAAGAGCCGCATGAAGTGGTCGAGCGGGCCAGGCAAGCAGTAGTAGTAGCAATCCATCGACCCGTCTAGCTTCTTGATGTGTCCGTCGGGGCGCATTGACAGCGACCAATCAAGATCAATGTAAAGGCCTCCAAATTCCTGTCACACGCAAAATCCCCAACACAAAAGCAGTAAAACAAAAAAACTTATATTCATCACACAGAGATCAGGAAGCAAGGAGAACGCCGCCGTCCTGTAAACCACACACGATAACTAAGGTTCCCTAGTCCCCAATCCAACCCTCACTCACCTTCACAATGGCCTTGGCCCCTTCGTTCTGTTCCACCACGTAGCTCCACGGGCTGTCCATTGTCTCATTGTGCGGCACGGCTTTCAGTGGCTCCGTGGCGTTGCCGCAGTCGGGGTGGCCGCGCCACGTGTTGCGCCACACCAGCAGCACATCCGGTGCCACCTCTCGCAGCTTCGCCAGCGATGCGCGCAGCGTGGACAGGTACTTGGGCGCTGGGGAACAACAGGAAGGGGGGAGACGAATATGGTGAGACGACGTGACTGGAGAGCACCACGTGTTGCGCCACACCAGCAGCACGTCCGGTGCTACCTCTCGTAGCTTTGCCAGCAACGCACGCAGCGTGGACAGGTACTTGGCCGCTGGGGGATTGAAGGGAAAACGAGACGAGACGAGATGTGTGAGCAGTAGGGAAGAATTGCAACTTGATCAAGCTTTGGGTGGGAAAGAATCAATCCCCCATCTGGCTTGACAAGGAAAACGAAGCTGCAGACCTTGTCCAACTATATCCCCAGGACTTAGGATTTAGGGTTTCACAGACTCACCTCACCCAAGGCACCCCCCCAAAAAATAAAAAATAAAACATAAAATAAAATAAAATGATTAAACATACTTGGTCTCTTCTCAAAGCCCTTGTTGAGGACGACGATGGACGTGTTCAACTCTCTGAGGTGCCGCAGCCAGCGCTGGTTGATTTTTCAGACCTTGCCCCTTAACAGCCCTGAAGAAAACAAATAGCACCTACTTGGTCTCTTCTCGAAGCCCTTGTTGAGGACGATGATGGAGGTGTTCCACTCTCTGAGGTGGCGCAGCCAGCGCTGGTTGAACTTGCCGGCCCTTGCCCATTCGGACCCCAGGACTTGGATGAAATGATCCCACAGGCAAAGAGAAAGGCACCTACTTGGTCTCTTCTCAAAGCCCTTGTTGAGGACAATGATGGATGTGTTCCACTCTCTGAGGTGCCGCAGCCAGCGCTGGTTGAACCTTCAAAGTTTGCCCCCTACACCCAGGACTTGGATGGAATGATTACACAGATGAAAGTAAACAAAGTCAGACGTACTTGGTCTCTTCTCAAATCCTTTGTTGAGGACGATGATGGATGTGCAGGTTCCACTCAGTGAGGTGGCGCAGCCAGCGCTGGTTGAACCTTCAAGCCTTGCCCATTTAGACCTCGGGACTTGGATGGAATGACTACACTGAGGGAAGAAAGAAGAAGGCACCTACTTGGTCTCTTCTCAAAGCCTTTGTTGAGGACGATGATGGATGTGTTCCACTCGCTGAGGTGCCGCAGCCAGCGCTGGTTGAACTTGCCCCCGCCCGCTGAGTCGGGAGAGAGCAGGTTGTTGTGCACCACTCGGAAGGTGAATCCCCCGGGCACGTGGTCCGAGCACACGATGTGTGGCTTGCGATGGCACAACGGAATCTCGTTCTCCTCCCTGTTATGATGCAAAAAGAGACAGAAAGAGAGACGGAAAACAGGAGTTTTTGGTGCGCTCTCTGGAGATTGAGCCGGGCGAGAGCAGGTTGTTGTGGACCCTATCACGATGGGGAAGACAACCCTTTCTGGAACGTGGTCTGAGCGAGCGCACCATCAAGACGACTATTCTCCTCGCTGAGCGCTGGCAGTGATGGTAACTGCAGCTACCGCATCAAGACAACTATTCACCACCAACTCAGCTCTAAGACATGAACTCTCTAGCATCTGCAGCTGTGCCAATATCTTTCGCAGTCTTCATGGTGACCACGTGGTTCGAACCCATGGCGCGGCAGAATCTGTCGCGGTTGTACCCGTCGAGTGGCAGGCAGAAGCAGCTTCCTGCTACCTGTTACCTGCAGAGACCACATCACCCCAGCCACTCACCAAGCATCTGCCGCAGTGCCGATATCCTTGGCAGTCTTCATAGTAAGCACGTGGTTGATAAACACATCGTGCAGTGCCAGCTGCGACTGATCCCTCTCAAACACCACGTTGTGATGCCCCACCCACCAACCGTGCTACCTGCTACCACTCACCATGCATCAGCAGCCGTTCCGATGTCTTTAGCCGTCTTCATGGTCAGCACATGGTTGATGAAAACATCATGGAGAGCCAGCTGCGACTGATCCCCCATAAACACCACGTTCCTCTGCCCCACCGCCCGGCAGAACTTGTCGCGGTTGTACCCGTTGAGCGGCGGGCAGAAGCGACTACCTGCTACCTGCTGAGCGGAGGGCAGAAGCGACTACCTGCTACCTGCTGAGCGGAGGGCAGAAGCGACTACCTGCTACCTGCTGAGCGGAGGGCAGAAGCGACTACCTGCTACCTGCTGAGCGGAGGGCAGAAGCGACTACCTGCTACCTGCTGAGCGGAGGGCAGAAGCGACTACCTGCTACCTGCTGGGCGGAGGGCAGAAGCGACTACCTGCTACCTGCTGAGCGGAGGGCAGAAGCGACTACCTGCTACCTGCTGAGCGGAGGGCAGAAGCGACTACCTGCTACCTGCTGAGCGGAGGGCAGAAGCGACTACCTGCTACCTGCTGAGCGGAGGGCAGAAGCGACTACCTGCTACCTGCTGAGCGGAGGGCAGAAGCGACTACCTGCTACTGCCTACCTGCTACCTGCCGAGACTACATCACCCCAACCACTCACCATGCATCAGCAGCCGTGCCGATATCTTTGGCAGTCTTCATAGTAAGCACATGGTTGATAAACAGATCGTGCAGTGCCAGCTGCGACTGATCCCCCACAAGCACCACGTTGCGGCGCCCCACCCACCAACCACGCTACCTGCTACCACTCACCATGCATCAGCAGCCGTGCCGATATCCTTTGCGGTCTTCATAGTCAGCACATGATTGATAAACACATCGTGCAGTGCCAGCTGCGACTGATCCCCCACAAACACGATGTTGCGGCGCCCCACCCACCCAGCGATGCTACCTGTTACCTGCTGACTGCACTTCCTGGATCACCGAACACACTCACCATGCATCAGCAGCCGTGCCAATATCCTTTGCGGTCTTCATGGTAAGAACGTGGTTAATAAACACGTCGTGCAGCGCCAGCTGCGACTGATCCCCCACAAACACCACGTTGCGATGCCCCACGGCCCGGCAGAACTTGTCGCGGTTGTACCCGTTGAGCGGCGGGCAGAAGCGGCTGGCCTTCCACGTGTGCTTCAGCTCCGGCCGAACGTTCCAATCACCCGTGCCCGACACCCGGATGTCCTCCGCTGCCTTGCCGAACACGCCCTTGCTGCAATGGGTGGGCGGGGGGAGGGGGGAGAGAGGGGGGAGGAGGGGTTTGGGGGGAAGAGGAGAGAGAAAGGATGAATTGGTTGAGAGGGGCCTCTCGGTGTTAGTGTACTGTGGTAGCCTGACTCGCCGCCACCCACACCACGGTTGAGCGGTGGGCAGAAGCGGCTGGCCTTCCACGTGTGCTTCAGCTCCGGCCGCACGTTCCACTCGCCGTTCCCCGACACCCGGATGTCCTCCGCTGCCTTGCCGAACACGGCCTTGCTGTAAGTCGTGGTGGGGAAGGAGGGGAGAGTGGGAGACTGGGAGAGAGAGGGAGAGGGTGAGGGGGTAGGAGAGAGGAACGGTAAACTGGTTGATAATTGAATGGAGTGGTCTCTGGGTGTCAGGCGTTAGAGACTGGGACGAAATTCACATAGCTTACTTTCTGCGGTACAGGATGTCACAAGTGCCATAGTGGGGCGCGAGGAGGGTTGCGGTTGGGGTCCTTGCTCCACTTTTGAGACTTCGCACGATTGATACAATGCAGGCAGGACAATCGCAATGCTCACTTTCTGCGGTGCAGGATGTCGCAGGTGCCGTAGTGGGGTGCAAGAGGGTTGCAGTTGGGGTCCTTGATAAAAGTGATGTTTTGAGACGACTCAAGACTTCTTTCTGCGGTGGAGGATGTCACAGGTGCCATAATGAGGGGCAAGGGGGTTGCAATTGGGGTCCTTGCTCCAGGGCTGCCAGCGCGGCATGTTGAACTTGATCCAACCAACGGCCCTCCGAGTCAACCTTTGAGTGAACTCAACAAGCCAACTCAGGACGTTCACAGTACTTACTTTCTGCGATGCAGGATGTCACAAGTGCCATAATGGGGTGCAAGGGGGTTGCGGTTGGGGTCCTTGCTCCAGGGCTGCCAGCGGGGCGTGTTGAACTTGATCCAACGGCCCTCCTTCGCCAGACACGCCATCTCACGGTTGGTCTGCTCCACTGCCTGTGCGCCCCGCACTGCCGTCCCGGGGATGCACTCTGTGTAGTTCCAGCAGGGCGCTGTGAGGGGGAAAGCGGAGAATTGAGGAAATCCTTTAGACACCCTACAACAGATCACTGCCTGTGCTGCGCGCCCCGCACTGCTGTCCCTGGGATGCACTCCGAGTAGTTCCTGCAGGGCGCTGTGAGGGGGAATTGGGGGATTTGAGAGAGAAAACAAGGAAAGAAAGGAGGGATTTCAGACATGCCATCTCACGGTTGCTCTGCTCCACTGCCTGTGCGCCCCGCAGTGCCATGCCGGGGATGCACTCTGAGTAGTTCCTGCAGGGCGCTGTGAGGAAAACGGTGGAGAGTAATGTATACATGAATGGGGACGGACTGAGGGGAAGATGGGACTTCGAATGGGAGAACAAGAGGTTGGGAACATAAGAAGAGAAAATCAACATTTTCAGACATGCCATGTTGCACTGCGCACATGAGAAAAGGTCAGATGTGGCAGACCAACGGGAAGGGAAACACGCCTCGATGGCAGCCCTCGGTGAGTACGTTCACATCACATGATCCGATCCAATGGATCATACACTTGGGTAAACACGTGTAAGAAGATTGGTTTTGAGGCGTCTCAAAACCAATCTACCAAGGGGAAGGGAAACACGCCTCGCTGGCAGCCCTCGATGAGTACGTTCACATCGCATGGTCCGATCCGATCCAATGGATCATACACTTGGGTAAACGTACTCACCGAGGGGTTCAGGTGCCGTGGCCTGAGTAGCAGGCATGGCTTCAGCAGCAGGTGTAGCATCGTCTGGAGGAGGGAATGACTCTGCACCGCTGCTGCTGCTATCACCACTTCCAGCAGCAGCAGCAGCAGCAGCACCATCACCACCACTGTCAGCACCACCAGTGGTGGAAGCAGCAGTAACAGCACCATCACTCGACTTCCCTTCATCCTTGATCTCCGCTTCCCCTCCAACTTCTTCCGTTTTCTTGTCTCCCTGCCCTGCCTCCCCTGCTTCCTCTTCCGAGCCCTCTGTTTCCTTCACACCACCAGCCTCCCCTCCCTCCTTCCCTTCATCCGAAACTCCTGCTGCTCCGCCTCCCTCGCCCCCTGCTCCTGCTCCTGCACCTTCCGCCACTGCTCCCTGTTCACCTGCACTCTGCCCACCTGCTCCTTGCTCCGCTGCTCCTTCCTCTGCTGCCCCTTGCTCTGGTACCTCCTTTGTCCCCGCCTCCTCTCTCCCCCCCTCATCACCACCCTCCTGTCCGTCTGCCCCTAAAGGCCTCGCAACAGCCCCGTCACTTTCCTTAGCTTCTTCTCCCGCATCTTTCCCTGCTTCCCCAATGCCAGCCTCCCTCCCTTCCCCACTGCCCGCCACATCCTCTTTCCGCCCTTCCACGGCTCGCGCAATCCCCTCTTCCGCCCCGCGTTCCCCTGCCGCATCCCGTATTCCCGCACTCCCATCCCCGCCCTCCTCCCCTCGGCTCTCCCCTTTACCACCCTTCTCCTCCTCCCCCTCTCTGTTACCATCTCTTCCTCCCTCGCCCACACCTCCCTCCTCTACCTGTGCGCCGCCAGTGCGACTTTCACTGCCACTGCTATCAGCACCAGCAGCAGCAGCAGCAGCACCAGAGCCGTCATCAGCACTATCACCAGCACCACCAGCACCGTCATCACCAACACCAGTGCCAGCAATTCCACTATCCCCAGCATCAGCACCAGCAGTACCACCAGCACCAGCATCAGCAGGAGAAACCAGTGGGAGGCGACCAGGCTCTGTGCCTCCCCCACCCCCAGGGCGCACGGGCAGGAGACTGGGGCTGACAGGCGGCTGCTGTGGCTGCTGGGAGTGGGTATCAATGAGACGGAGCAGGTTGTAGAGCAGTGAAACCCAGTGGTCGAGGGGGCCGGGCATGCAGTAGTGGCGGCAGTCCACTGTGCCGTCCAGCCGCCTGTGGTGGCCGTCAGGGCGTAATGAGGTGGCTGAGTCAACGTCTAGATACACCACTCCGTACTCCTGAGAGTTACAGAGGGGAATAGGGAAGGGAGAGAATGGGAGAGCAGTCAATTGAGGGTGCACGGGCAGGAGACTGGGGCTGACAGGCTGCTGTGGCTGCTGGGAGTGGGTATCAATGAGGCGGAGCAGGTTGTAGAGCAGCGAGACCCAGTGGTCGAGGGGGCCGGGCATGCAGTAGTGGCGGCAGTCCACTGTGCCGTCCAGCCGCCTGTGGTGGCCGTCGGGGCGGAGCGAGGTGGCTGAGTCAACGTCCCTAGGTAAACCACTCCGTACTCCTGGGAGGGAAGGGGGGAGGGAAGGAAGAGAATGGGAGAGCAGCCACGTGAGGGTCTGCCAGCAGGAGACTGGGGTTGACAGGCTGCTGGGAGTGGGTATCAATGAGGCGGAGCAGGTTGTAGAGCAGCGAGACGCCGAGACCCAGTGGTCGAGGGGGCTGGGCATGCAGTAGTGGCGGCAGTCCACTGTGCCGTCCAGCCGCCTGTGGTGGCCGTCAGGGCGTAATGAGGTGGCTGAGTCAACGTCTAGATACACCACTCCGTACTCCTGAGAGTTACAGAGGGGAATAGGGAAGGGAGAGAATGGGAGAGCAGTCAATTGAGGGTGCACGGGCAGGAGACTGGGGCTGACAGGCTGCTGTGGCTGCTGGGAGTGGGTATCAATGAGGCGGAGCAGGTTGTAGAGCAGCGAGACCCAGTGGTCGAGGGGGCCGGGCATGCAGTAGTGGCGGCAGTCCACTGTGCCGTCCAGCCACCTGTGGTGGCCGTCGGGGCGGAGCGAGGTGGCTGAGTCAACGTCCCTAGGTAAACCACTCCGTACTCCTGGGAGGGAAGGGGGGAGGGAAGGAAGAGAATGGGAGAGCAGCCACGTGAGGGTCTGCCAGCAGGAGACTGGGGTTGACAGGCTGCTGGGAGTGGGTATCAATGAGGCGGAGCAGGTTGTAGAGCAGCGAGACGCCGAGACCCAGTGGTCGAGGGGGCTGGGCATGCAGTAGTGGCGGCAGTCCACTGTGCCGTCCAGGACTGCTGCCGTGACGGCCACCGTGCCGTCTAGGCGCCTGTGATGGCCGTCCGGACGTAGTTAGGTGGCTGAGTCAACGCCTAGATACACCACTCCGTACTCCTGGGAGGGGGAGGGGATGGGGATGAGAGAGGGCAGCAACAACAGCAGCCAGGATGGGAGAGGGCAGCAGCTGCTACAGCCGGTCAATCACTCACCTTGAGCAATGACCGCACAGCAATGTTCTTTTCAGCGTGCCGGGCCCACGTGGCGGGCAGCTGCCCCTTGAGCTGCAGCAGCTGATGCTGTTGCTTGCCTAAACCACTATACACCTGCCAGCCACACAGATCACCTTGAGCACGTTCATCTTGGCATGCCGCGTCCACGTGGCTGGCAGCAACCCCTTGAGCTGCAGTGGTTGTTGTTGACCTGATGCTGCTGCTGCAGCCAACACCCACTCACCTCACCCTGCTACAGCCTGGTACTAACCTCTACCACACCCACACCACTCACCTTGAGCAATGACCGCACATCTACGTTCATCTCAGCGTGCCGTGTCCACGTGGCCGGCAGCTGTCCCTTGAGCTGCTATAGTCACCCTCACAACCACTCACCTGGCCCTACTACAGCCGGACATTCTCTCACCTTGAGCAGCGACCGCACAGCAGCGTTCATCTCGGCATGTCTGGTCCACGTGGCAGGCAGCTGCCCCTTGAGCTGCAGTGGCTTGGGGCGGCGCTTGAGGGGGCGGGTGAAGCGGTGGCAGCTGGGGTGCCCCGCAGGGGAGTTGCGCCAGATGACCAGCATGTCTGGGTAGAGCTCTCTCACTGCCTCAAGTGTGTCTCGCACCTCCTGAAGCATCAGGTCCTCTGGGAAGGGAATGAGAAAGGGGGGAGGGATACATGGAGGGAAAGGGGAATACGTGGGGTGGTCCGCGGGGGAGTTGCGCCAGATGACCAGCATGTCTGGGTACAGCTCCCTCACTGCCTCTAGGGTGTCTCGCACTTCCTGCAGCATTAGATCCTCTGATTTGCAGGGAGGGAAGGGAGGCACAGGAAGGATACATGTGAAAAAGGCAGGGGAGTTGCGCCAGATGACCAGCATGTCTGGGTACAGCTCCCTCACTGCCTCTAGGGTGTCTCGCACTTCCTGCAGCATTAGATCCTCTGATTTGCAGGGAGGGAAGGGAGGCACAGGAAGGATACATGTGAAAAAGGCAGGGGAGTTGCGCCAGATGACCAGCATGTCTGGGTACAGCTCCCTCACTGCCTCTAGGGTGTCTCGCACTTCCTGCAGCATTAGATCCTCTGATTTGCAGGGAGGGAAGGGAGGCACAGGAAGGATACATGTGAAAAAGGCAGGGGAGTTGCGCCAGAAGACCAGCATGTCCGGGTACAGCTCTCGCACTGCCTCTAGAGTGTCCCGCACTTCTTTCAGCATCAAATCCTCTGATTTGCAAGGTGGGAAGGGAGGCAGGGGAGGGATGTAAGTTGATCAGATAACCAGCATATCCGGATAGAGCTCTCGCACTGCCTCGAGAGTGTCTCGCACTTTCTTGTGGCATCAAATCCTCTGAGGACGGGAGGACAGAGATGCAGAGGAGGGAGGGTTACGTGGGATAAGGGGCGGGTGAGTTGCACCAGATGACCAGCATGTCTGGATCGAGCTCCCTCACACCTTCCAGGGTGACTCGCACTTATTGCAGCATCAAATCCTCTGAGGAGGAGAGGCAGGGGAGGGACACATGGAATAAGAGGCGGGTGAGTTGCACCAGATGACCAGCATGTTCAGCTCTCTCACCGCCTCCAGCTTGTCTCGCACCTCCTGCCATGTGGCAAAAAGAAACACTGGAAGGGCTCAGGTTGCACTCACTGTCATTGAAGAGCGCGGTGCGGGAGAGGATGAGGATATCCGTGCGCCACCGCCGCAGCCGGCGCAGCCAGCGGGTGTTGTAGCGCGTGGGGCGGCCCGTGTCAGGCGTCAGAAACGGGTTCAGCACCACCCGCAAGTTAAACCCCGGAGATAATAATGTCTCCCCACCCCTTGCCACGCCTCTGCCCGAACCTAACCCCGAGCCTGACCCAGACCTGGACCCCAGCTGGAGATTAGACCCCGAGCCTCCGACACCAGCGCTAGCACCCCCTGAACTCCAGCCATTGCTGCCACCACCACCGCTGCCCCCCTCTTCCTCATCCTCCTCATCCCCCTCTCCTCCTCTGATGGAGCCCCCTTGAGGCACTCCTCTCCCTCCAACTCCGCCAACTCCCCCTCCTCCCCCTCCTCGCCCTCCCTCCGTCCCCTCCGCCCCCTCCTCCTCGTCCTCCTCCTCGCTCCCATCTGACTCCCACAGCAGCACGCGGCCTCGAGTGCCTCCCCCCTGCCTCCTCCCTCGCCTCCTGCGTTCCTTCCCTCGCACAGACGCTATGCTGCTCGCCCTCCCACCTTCCTCATCTCCCTCCATCCCATCTCCCCCTCCCCTTCCTCCTCCTGCTGCTGCTGCTGCTGCTGCTGCTGCTGCGCCAGTGGTGTCAGGGGGACCTTTGCCGTATGAGCCAGAGGCAGTGGAGGAGGGGAGAGCGAAGGTGGGGGTAATAGGGACGTCGGTGCACAGCTGGTGGCCTGCCTCAAAGCATGCACCCTCCGTGGCATTGGCCCTGGGGAATTGGGAGAGTGGGGAGGGAGCATTATGAGGTGGCCTTTTTGAGATTTCTAAAGAACGACCTACAAAAAAAAGTGCCTCCAAAGTTGGTATACAGTCAACAGCCTGCAAATGGCCCGCCAAACACCTTACCATTCCCCAATGCCCACCTCCCTCCCTCCTTCACCACAACCACGTCAACTCATGCACACATGCCCCCCTCCTTCCACCATTTCTCCCTCCCTTGCTCTTGGTTTGTTTTATAATCCCCCACCACCAACACATCAATTCACACGAACATTCCCTCCCACCCTCTCTCCCCTCCCCATGTCCTCGAACTGCACGAACGGGCACCGGTCCGGCTCGCTGCTGCGTCACTCGTACAGCACCTCCCCACCCCAACCCAACCTCCCTCCCTTGCCCACCTCCCTCCCTCCCTCACTCACTCATTCACTCATCATCCATCGCCCAGCCGACCGGCATCTCTCTTAGTCCCAGCAGTAACCAGATGGTTCAAACAGGAGTCATGCATGTCCTGACTAAACGCATCCCCCACCAGCACCACGTTCCGCCCCCGCACAGCCCGGCAGAATCCCACCAGCACCACACCAACATGCACACACACATTCCCCAACACAGACACACACTTCCCAACATCCCCCCCCCCGCCTTCACTCACCATCCATCGCCCAGTCGACCAGCATCTCTCTTCGTCCCAGCAGTGACCAGATGGTTCAAAACAGCATCGTGCATATCAAGGCTGAAGGCATCCCCCACCAGCACCACGTTGCGCCCCCGTACTGCCCGGCAGAACCCCTTGCGGTCGAACCGCACGAAGGGGCACCGCTCCGGCTCGCTGCTGCGCCACTCGTACAGCACCTCCCGCCGAACCTTCCAGTCCGGCACAACCGAGCCTCGGCGGCGGGAGGCTCGGGAGTACTTCTGGCGGATTCGTTCGGCTTGGAGGCCGTATATGCCGCCCTCTCTGGACAGGGTGGGAGGATGAGCAGAGAAGGGAGGAACGAGAAGGAAGGCGTGAGAGAGAGGAAGTTTCAAGAAGGACAAGGGGAATGGCGGGTGAGAGCGCTACTCATTACCCGCACTTCATATGTTAAGATCAGCCTGTTTGTTACCGCTGGGCGTGCAGCATGTCGCAGGTGCGGTAGTTGGGCTGCTCCTTCACTGTGAGCGGGTTGAGGTCCCACGGCAGCCAGCGAGGCGTCGAGTTGAGCGCCCACCGCCCCTCCCTCGCCACACACGCCAGCTGCCTCTCCAGATCCATCACCTGGTAGCGCCGGGGACGGGGGTGAGGTGATGGACATGGGACGGACGGGGGAGTGGTAGAGGGTGGTTCCGTGGGCGGAGAGTAGAGGGTACAGTAGGCTAACATTTGGCAGCCAGCATGGAGTCGAGTTGAGCGCCCACCGCCCCTCCCTCGCCACACACGCCAGCTGCCTCTCCAGATCCATCACCTGACAGTGGCGGGAGGCAGGCAGGGAGGGATGATGACTCACCCAGGTGAACGAATGTCCCTCACCGTCATCTCCAAGGGTGGTGACAGCAGCAAAGGATTTTTGAGGCGCCTCAAAAATCGTCTCTGTTCACGCGGTTCGGTTTTTATATGGGGAATGTTTACCATGAGTGACGACGACCCGCAGGGAGGGATGATGACTCACCCAGGTGAACGAATGTCCCTCACCATCATCTCCAAGGGTGGTGACAGCAGCAAAGGGTTCCAAAAGACCCAATGTGGTTCACTCACCTCCGTGCACGGAAAGAGGTTCACTCACTCACCTCTTTCAAGCAGGAAAGAGGTTCTGTGGACCCAACGCAGCCCACTCACTCACCTTGGTTCCCTGCACGCTGGTGCCTGAGTTGCGCAGCAAGGCGAAATTAAGAAGCCCCTCATTATCACCATCCACCCACCAGGCAAGAAAGCAGGAAAAAGGTTCTGTGGACCCTACCCAGCTCACTCATTTTGGTGCCTTGCACGCTGGTGCCTGGGATGCCCAGCAAAGGAAAGTCAAGCCGCCCCTCACTATCCTCACCACAGGCGGACCCAAAGCAACTCACTCACCTTAGTGCCTCTAACGCCAGTGCCTGGGATGCGCAGCGAGGCGAAATCAAGCAGCCCCTCATCATCCTCCCCCGGAGCCTCCTCCTCCTCCTCCACCTGCGCGTCCTCCACACTGGGGGCCTCATCGGCCGCCCTGGTGCCATAGAACATGCTCGCCACTCGCTCCTCCTCCTTCCTCTTCGCCGCATCCTTCCCCACCCTCCCCGCCTGCCTCACACGCCCCGTTCGCCGTCCCGCCTCCTCCTCCTCCGCCTCCTCCTCCTCCTCCTCCTCCTCTTCCTCCTCCTCTGCCACTGCAACTCCCTTCTTCGCCTTTGTTTTCGGGGTTTTCTTGTTGATTCGTGCAGCTAAACCCTCTGCCTCCTTGGCCGCTTGTTCGAATTCCTCCACTGCATCATCCACCTCATCCTTCGCTCCTCGCGCCCTTTTCCCCTTGCCTCCACCTCTCTTCTTCTTCTTCCCTCCAGTCTTCTTCCGCTTCGACCTCCCCCCTCCTCCTCCTCCTCCTCCTCCTCCTCTTCCTCCTCCTCCTCCCCTCCCTCCTCTTCTTCCTCTTCCTCGTCTCCCTCCTCCTCTCCCTCCTCGTCCTCCTCCTCCTCTTCCCCAGCCCTCTTACGCCCCTTTCTCCCGCCCCTAGAACTCTCCTCTTCCTCCTCCTCGTCCTCTTCCTCCTCTGCGTTTCCACCCCCTCCATCCTCCTCCTCCTCATCCTCATCCTCATCATCCCCCCTGTTCCCCTTTTTCCTCCCCGTTCTGCCCCCACGAGCGCTCCTCTCCTCCTCCTCCTCCTCCTCCTCCTCCTCCTCCTCGTCATCCCCACTCGCTCTCCCCCGCCCTCCTCTCACTCCCCCTCTTCCTCCCAAACCGCCGACCTTTCCTCTCATCTGCCCAATCGCAATACCAATACCCTCCTCCCCTTCCTCCTCCTCGTCCTCCCCCCCTCTCCGCCCACCTCCTCTTCCCCCCCATCCACCACTCCCTCCCGCACTCCCCATCCTGCCCATCCTCCCCGAACCAGCACTCCCCAGCCTTCCCCCAAACGCCCCTCCGCTCCCTCCCCCGCCCTCCCCATCCTCCTCCTCGTCCTCCCCATCCCCGCCAAAAGCACTCCCTTTTCTCTTCACAGCACCGCCACGCCCACCAAACGCACCCATCCTCCCACTCGTACGTCCCCCAAACCCCTCATCTCGAGCCCCGAACGCCCCTCCCTTCGCACTCCCTCTCCCTCCACCCACACCACCACCACCGCTCTCCTCATCCTCATCATCCCCCATACCCGTTGACGGCAGGCCGCCAAACCCTCCTGTCCGACCAACCCCAGGCCTGGAACCAGCTAGCTTCGAGCCCCACCCTGTCGTCCCTCCCATTCCTCCATCCCCATCTTCCTCATCCTCGTTACCAGCCTCTCCGAATCCCATCCCAGACCCGCTCCCGGGTCTGTACCCGCCTGTTCCGGTTAAGCTATCTTCACCCTCCTCCTCTGGTGCAGCGCTAGTGTTCTCCTCCTTCTTCTTACCCCCCCATAGCCAAGAAAACCATCCAGCCTTAGCCGCTGGTTTAGGCGTGTCAGCGTTGATATTGCTATCTTTCCCAACTGCTACTCCTCCTGCTGCTTCCGATCCTTCCGATCCTCCTAGACCATCCCCATAATCGCTTTCCGAACCTGCGTTGCCGAGGCTGGGCGACGTCACCGAACCACCGGGGTTGGTGTTTTTGGAGGACCAGGGGTCATCGTCGTCGTCAGACGCGTCAGAAAGAGAGGGATTGGTGCCGGTGATGGTCGGTTGAGAGGTCTTGGCTGACTTTGCCGTCCATGCGTCATCGCCAGGCTGGCCGCTGGCATAGAAATCGTCGTCTTCCCCGATGGTGGGAGCAGATGGGGAGGGATTTCGGCTTCTGGGGAGAATAGCAATGGGAAGGGAGTTTATCAAAAGAAGAGAACGTTATTGAACATTGTGATCCGGCCTTTCAGAACACTGTTTTCAGTTCTAAAATCTCAATCGCACTGCGACGTTTTGAGAGCGCTGACAACAATATGCGGATAACATATTTATATATAGAGTGGTCGCCCTGAATAAGTCCAGCAGCCGAGATTTTGTTTTATAGACTATCGGTTTCTCATCCCTCATTCCAGGCTTCACAATTCCTGTCCAATGTCGCTACGGAATTACCTGAAAAGGCCGCTATTCCAGATGCCAAAGCCGATCAGCCAAATGAGCACGATAGCAACCACTGGCGAGCAGCAGTAATGCCGCTTAAACAATCCGCTGAAGAATCCTCCAATGCCTCCTCCTCCACCTCCTCCACTACCACCACCTCCCCCTCCCCTTCTAAAGAAGCTTCTTTGCCTCGCTTCTTGGCGCATCGGAGACGACGCTCCGACGCGTTTCGTGACGTCCATTCCTGTGATTCCCCACATCGTGACGCTATTAAATGTCGTGTTTTTATTCAGTTTTCAGAATCGCAGCAGATTACATGCTCGCTGATCGGGATCCGAGTACTGTGAAGGCGATTAGGAGAAAGTTACTCTCTAGTAAACTACCATTCCATCACCGCTGATGCGCAAGACCTAAGCTACATGCCATAAGCATGGCATATGTTCTGAATCAAACCAGCCGTAATCCCCAGTTCCTGCAGGGAATGGTAGGGAAAGTCAACTGGTCACCTGTAGGAAGCAGACGGTGATATGTATGGTATAGTGTAGGCCGGCCCACTTTGGCTTTCTTTCACCTACCTCTGACCAATGCGAAGTTGGAAAATTCGCGCACAGCAGTAACTTGTCGCGAAACAATCTCCTCACGACTTGTGGCGAGGGGCTGATGCTGCTGCTTCCAGCTCGGTTCGGTTTTGTTGCTTCGTTACTTTGGTCTGGTTTTCCTAGCTCACATGTGGTGGACGAAACGTCACACCTGCCGAGCCAGTTTTTCACCAATCAGAGGGCTTCGAAGAGATACGGTAACCTGAACAACAAACCTCGAGAGAATACTGTACACCGACACGCGAAAACAGAACAGTAAGCTTTTGCCAACAGCTTGGCCTCCTCGATATTCTCAAAATCAGAGACGCCCCTTACAGGCCGTGCAGATGCCAATAAATCTCAGCCATCAAAATTACCAACCATCCGATCTAAACCGTCGATGCGGCCAAATAAACACATCCACCCGTCTAGGATAGAAGACCCTCCAGCAACACATTTTTCTGCAAGGACCTCTTTGGAAGAGGTCGAGAGAAGCATCTCACGCACAATCACGAGCGCCTTTTAGGAAGCGGATTGAGCTTGTTTTTTTTTGCGGTCTTCGCGGCAATCCCTTGATATCAGCGGATCGCATCGCATGCTGTGCTAGGTGGAACTTCACCACAACAGCTGGGTGCTACCCGCGGATACATTTCTTGGTCAAAATCCGTCATATTAGCTATGGGTTCTCCAGGCAGCGATTCTGGCGGGGATCCTCCCACCCCCGATCACTCCTCCGTCACCGGGGGTGACGGAGTCCGTCACGTTTCCGTCTCCGTGGCGTCGGACGGACTCCATCGCCGGTCAGCTGACGTAAAGCGCGACGAAACCAGGGAGATTAGGCAGGTCGGGCCAGGCGCGACACCGGAGAGAGACGGTGATTCAGAGCTCCTAGACAGGACGCGGAGCGAGCGGGAGAGGGAAAGGCAGTGGCGATTGGACCACAGTCAATTTGCCGCTGCTAGGCGGGATTTAAGCGACGATGGACGTGGCTCCGGCAGAATGAGCATACTTCGAGGTATTAATCTAGAAATCGACCAGTTTCGTTTCCTGGAGATTCACTTCTGGAGCTGTTTAAATTGCTTGTCTAAAAGCGGGAAAAACACACGCACACACGCACGCACGCACGCACGCACGCACGCACGCACGCACACACACACACACACACAGACTCTTGAATTCGGACCCTCCTTTGCCTCTCACTTCTGTTTCCCACTCTCCCGTACGTGGCATTGTATCAGTGAGCAACGCGGACAGCGCGGTCAGCGCGTACTATCAGCGGCAGAACGAGATGATTGACGGCTTCAGTGAAATGGACGCCCTGAGCGAGCGCCTGCTGCACCCCACCGCTGAGGTGAGCGCCTGCCGCACCCCACCGCTGAGGTGAGCGCCTGCCGCACCCCACTGCTGAGGTGAGGGTGGTCTTGGGTTTCGAGTGAGGGCTTATGGTGAGGCGAGAAATGGACAACTTACTTCGGTGAGCGCTGGTGCTGTGGTGAGAGCAGTGCTGCGGTGAGAGATGAAAGTTCTGCTGTCAGAGCTCTGCTCTGCTGCAGTGAGCGTCCTCCGGCTGATGCGAGCTTTTTCTCAACCCGTGTCTCGAATTTCACAGGAGGCGAGGGCAGCAGCCAAGACAGCGCGAGGCGAGCACTGGGCGATTCAGATCTCCAACATCGCCAATATTGTCCTGTTCATCGCCAAGGTGCGTGATTCTTGGTTTTGAGGCGCTTCAAAACTATTTTTGAGGAGCCTAAAAAATGCAATTCAGATCTCAAACATTTCCAATATCATCCTTTTCATTGCCAAGGTGCGTGATTCTTGGGGCTCCTCAAGGCATGGCCCTCAATATCACCACACTGTTATCCTCTTTATGGTCTAAGCACGTCGCGATTTTACATCCACGTTGTTGTTGTTCCCTGTATGAAAAACAACAACCTGGGAACGGTGGAGTGGGACCAACCGAACCCCGTCTCTTTGCCCTTCCCATGTTCCATGTTTATTGCCAATCCTTCTCCCTTTTCCACACTTCTACCACATTGTACTCCTCTCTACTCCACTCCGCTCCACTCCACTCCACCGCTCTGCACCGCTCTGCACCGCGCTGCACACAGGTGGTGGCGTCCATATCATCAGGCAGTCTGTCGATCATTGCGTCTACACTTGACTCGCTGCTGGACCTGCTGTCGGGCTTCATCCTCTGGTACACCGCGCGCTCCATGCGAAGGCACAACCCCTACAAGTACCCCATCGGCAAGGCCCGCATGCAGCCCCTGGTGCGTCCTTTCATCACCGCATGGCACCGCACTCCACTGCATTCCACCACACTCCACCGCTTTTCACCGCACTCCACTTGCACTGCACTCCACCACATTGCACCACATTCTACCGCATTGCACCGCACTCGACCAGAGTCAGGCAGTCTGTCGATCATTGCGTCAACACTTGACTCGCTGCTGGACCTGCTGTCGGGCTTCATCCTCTGGTACACCGCGCGCTCCATGCGAAGGCACAACCCCTACAATACAAGTACCCCATCGGCAAGGCCCGCATGCAGCCCCTGGTGCGTTCCTTCCACCAGCACCACTCGGCACCGCACTTCACCGCATTCCACCGCACTCCACCGCATTGCACCGCACTCCACTGCTGATGATTGCATTCACTGGATCTGCTGTCGGGTTTCATCCTCTGGTACACTGCCCGCTCCATGCGAAGGCTCAAACCCTACAAGTACCCCATCGGCAAGGCCCGCATGCAGCCCCTGGTGCGTTGCATTGCATCAGCACCGCAAGTCACCACATGGCACCGTACTGCACCGCATGGCACCGTATTCCACCGCTGGTGATGCCGTCCATAGAGTCGGGCAGTCTGTTGATCATCGCGCCGAAGCTGGACACCGCACCGTCCATTCGCCGCCACAACCACCACCCACGTCCATGTGCGCACAGAGAATCATAATGCATGCATTTACCATGGTCAGGTCACTTTGCTTCCAGCTGCCAGTGAGTCGACTTCAAAGGCGTCTCCTCCCGCCCTTCAACCACCCCTCATCCACCCTCAAACCACCCAACCACCCTTGACTCTCTATGACCCCACAGGGCATCATAGTGTTCGCCTCCATTATGGCCACTCTCGGCGTCCATGTGCTGCTCGAGGGCATTAGGCGCTTCAAGAACCCTCCGCGTTTCTTCCCCCTCCCATATCTTCCCCTCCCCATGATTTCCCCCACAGGGCATCATAGTGTTTGCATCCATCATGGCTACTCTCGGATTCCAAATTCTGCTGGAGGGCGTCAGGCGACTCACCGACTCGGTATGAGCTAGTGACTGATACGACGAGACCTCGACAGGACAGGTTCTGCAACTGGCATACCTTGTCGGAGTTACAACACCTGTGGTAGGTGTCGTATCACATCTCGCTGACTCTACAACGAAAAACTCTTTTGTATGGTGAACCGCACGCACTCTACTTCTTTTGACGCCCTTCACTCACAACAATCCCCTCCCCTCCCCCCTTTCAAGTGAATCCATTACTGCTGTCCGTCAGTCTGCCTTGGCTGGGCTAGGCAACAAGTGGCAGGTGCATGTAGCGATCATGGTGTTGGTCATAGCAGCTAAGACCGCACTACATTTTTTTAGAACCTTCACTCAATAACGGCATCCTCTCCCTCCCGTGTGTATCCGTCCCTGTCTGTGTTCCCCTCAGTCTGCCCCAGCAGGCCTGGGCGACAAATGGCAGGTGTATGTAGCGATCATGCTGTTCGCCATTGTGGTCAAGACCGCCCTTTACTTCTACTGCCGCATCTTCACAGGCAACGACATCGTCCTCGCATACGCCCAGGTCAGTTTTTGTTTCACTTTGATTTGACACGGCCGGCAGCCGCACGGGTTTTGAGTCGACTCAAACAGCAGTCGAGACAGCACTCTTCTTCCACTGCCGCATCTTCACAGGCAACGACATCGTGCTCGCATGCGCTCAGGTGAGGCTCTGCATTAGTCGCCATATACATGCGCTCAGGTCAGGCATTTCTCTACTAGTTGTCACACTAATTGTCAGGCAAACATGCGCTCAGCTCAAGTCGGGCAATTCTCAAATCGACATGGCACACACTGCGAAAGTTACTTTCTTGCTACCATACCATGCGCTCTGAAGCAGAGGAGGGGGGAGGGCGGGGATGCCTCACCATCTCCTGCCACGTGCAGTTCTATCTCTTCTGCGTTCCCGCGCTTCCCTCTCTGAGTAATGTGTCAATAGTCAAGTCCACTGGCATGACATGACACCACCATGACACCACCATGACACCACCATTCCATTGTGTCCACAGAACCGTTTCTTTGACGTGGTGACAAACACTGTGGGGCTCGCAGCTGCCTTTTGAGTCGACTCAGAAGTCATTTCAACCGCACACCACCGTGATTCCACCATTTGCCCGTGTCCCCAGGACCATTTCTTTGACGTGGTGACCAACGTTGTGGGGCTGGGGGCTGCCTCTTGAGTTGACTCAGAAGTCACCTCAAAAACCACACCACACCACACCGCACCGCACCGCACCACACCACACCACTCCACCATTTCACCGTGCATGTGTGCAGGACCATTTCTTTGACGTGGTGACAAACGTCATGGGGCTGGGGGCTGCGATTCTTGCAGGAATCCTTGCCTGGTGGATCGACCCTGTCGGCGCCATTCTGGTATGCATGCCCTCCCTGTTGTCATTCACCCTCACATCCACCCAACATGCCCTCACCTGTTGGCTATCCCACGCCTCGTTACGCCAACTTTCCATCAACCACACAAGTAGCCATCATGAGCCAATCCATCGCTCTTCCCACAGCCCCCTCCCTCCCTCACCCCCTTTTCGTCACCCTCTTTTCCCTCTCCTCCTTGTCTGTCGTTCATTGTCTGGCTTCCCTTTCTCCACCTCTTCCATCTCCCCCCCACCCACCCAGCTCGCCCTATACACGATGATTAACTGGGGCCGCACGGTCCTGGAAAACGTCAACTCGTTGGGCTCTCTTCCCTTTCCTCTCTTCCTTCTCTTTCATCCATTGACTCTCTTCCAAATCCCCTCTCTCTCACCCCCAGCTCGCCCTATACACGATGGTCAACTGGGGTCGCACAGTCCTGCCTGGAAAACGTTAACTCTTTCACCGGCCGGTCGGCACCACCCGAGTTCCTGCAGAAGATAACGTACCTGTGCTGGAACCACCACGAGGCCATCCCGGCTATTGACACCCTTCCTTCCCTTAATTCCATTCCGTCCCTTCCTTCCCTTCCTTCCCTTCCTTCCCTTCCTTCCTGTCCATTCCTCCTCCACTCCCCTTCTCCTCCCCTTCCCCCGCCCCCTACCCACCCAGCTCGCCGTATACACGATGATCAACTGGGGTCGCACCGTTTTGGAAAACGTCAACTCCCTCACAGGGAGGTCGGCGCCGCCAGAGTTCCTGCAGAAGATAACGTACCTGTGCTGGAACCACTCCCTTTCCGTTCAACTTTCCTTCCCTTCCTTCCGTTCCTCCTCCCCTCCCCTCCTGCCACCCCTCCCCCTTACCCCCAGCTCGCCCTATACACGATGGTCAACTGGGGGCGCACAGTCCTGGAAAACGTCAACTCTCTGACAGGGAGGTCAGCGCCGCCCGAGTTCCTGCAGAAGATAACGTACCTGTGCTGGAACCACCACGAGGCCATCCTGGCGATCGACACCGTGCGCGCCTACACCTTTGGCACGCTTTATTTTACCGAGGTGGATGTGGTGCTGCCGCGGGACATGCCGCTTGAGGTGAGCCTTACCCCTTGAGGTGAACCCAGTCCGGGGTTATTGAGGTGAGAGGCCATCCTGGCTATCGACACCGTGCGCGCCTACACCTTCGGCACGCTTTATTTTACCGAGTTGGATGTGGTGCTGCCGCGGGACATGCCGCTTGAGGTGAGCCTTACCCCTTGAGGTGAACCCAGTCCGGGGTTATTGAGGTGAGAGGCCATCCTGGCTATCGACACCGTGCGCGCCTACACCTTCGGCACGCTTTATTTTACCGAGGTGGATGTGGTGCTGCCGCGGGACATGCCGCTTGAGGTGAGCCTTACCCCTTGAGGTGAACCCAGTCCGGGGTTATTGAGGTGAGAGGCCATCCTGGCTATCGACACCGTGCGCGCCTACACCTTCGGCACGCTTTATTTTACCGAGGTGGATGTGGTGCTGCCGCGGGACATGCCGCTTGAGGTGAGCTCAGAGCGATGGGAGAGTAGCCTACACCTTCGGCACGCTCTACTTCACTGGAGTGGATGTTGTGCTGCCCCGGGATATGCCCCTTGAGGTGAGCCATGCCGGTTGCAATCAGTCCAATTATAGAGGTAGCCTACACCTTCGGCACGCTCTACTTCACTGGAGTGGACGTTGTGCTGCCCCGGGATATGACCCTTGAGGTGAGCCATGCCGGTTGCAATCAGTCCAATTATAGAGGTAGCCTACACCTTCGGCACGCTCTACTTCACTGGAGTGGACGTTGTGCTGCCCCGGGATATGCCCCTTGAGGTGAGCCATGCCGGTTGCAATCAGTCCAATTATAGAGGTAGCCTACACCTTCGGCACGCTCTACTTCACTGGAGTGGACGTTGTGCTGCCCCGGGATATGCCCCTTGAGGTGAGCCATGCCGGTTGCAATCAGTCCAATTATAGAGGTAGCCTACACCTTCGGCACGCTCTACTTCACTGGAGTGGACGTTGTGCTGCCCCGCGACATGCCGCTGGAGGTGAGCTCAGGGTTGTTGCTTCGAGACATGCCCTTTGAAGTGAGCATGCCCCTTGAAGTGAACCAAGAGTGATGGGAATACTATACACCTCCGGCACGCTCTACTTCACTGAAGTGGACGTTGTGCTGCCCCGCGACATGCCGCTTGAGGTGAGCCGAGGGTGATCTTGGTGGGCTCAGGGGTGCTTGGGGTCAGTTGATGAGGTTAGGAGGTGAGTTGGGGATGACCTGCGCCCACCACATCATGTCTTTATGCCAAACTCTCCCTCCCTTATTCGTCTCTTCCGCGTCTCCCTCCCCCTCCCTCGTTTCCTGCTCTCTCTACTCCATCTGTCCCATCTGCCCCCATTGCAGGAGACGCATGACATAGGCGAGTCGCTGCAGAACAAGCTGGAGCGGTTACCGGAGATTGAGAGGGCGTTTGTGCATCTGGACTAAGCCCTGCCTCTCACTCCCATCTCTCCCTTCTTGCTCTTGTGCCCCTCTCGCCCTCCCACTCCCTTCCCTCGATGTTGTCTCGCTGCAATTGCTCCTATGGCAGGAGACGCATGACATAGGAGAGTCGCTGCAGAACAAGCTTGAGCGGTTACCGGAGATAGAGAGGGCGTTTGTCCATCTGGATTATGAGGTGGAGCACAGGCCAGAGCATCACCAGCACTCCTCCTTCCCCGCTCCCCCCGCGGCACCCACCATCACAACCCTCCCCCCTCCGGACACCCCCACTCGATGATCTTTCTCGTAGCCGCGTTCAGGCTGATTTAGTTTCGCTGTTTGACAATTAGCTGTTTGCTTTGATGTAGTTTGGCTTGTTTTTTCTTAGGACAAGTTGCAGTAATGCAGCTTTGTTTTGAAGTTTCACCAGCCAAAACGGCTTCCTGTTGCGTGCACCTATGGCGTTCTCCACTTGTGCTCATTCCAGTTATTTGGACATCCATTTAACCTTTCCACTTTCCCCCCCCTCATGTTGCCCTTATTTATTAGGAATATGTTATCACAGATACACTGATCTGACAAATAGTGTTCCTCTTCCAGAAGCCGAATCTTTCCGTTAGAGATGCTGGTTGGCTGTGGCTCGTCATTCCCAAAGCCGTTTCGCCTGACGTCTGTCACAGCAGCAGCTTCCCTCCAACCAAACCAAACCCGAATTCGGTAGCAGCCAGTCCGACCGACAGTCAAAACTTGATTCTGGTGGATTCAAGGGAGCACAGCAGCAGCACCAGATATCAGAGCAAAGCTTCATTATGCCAGGTTGCATTTCACCACTCGTTTTGTGATATTTTCAGTTCATTTCTCTGCCTTGAGAATTGTAGGCTCTAAGACGCAGTGCTAAGGCGCCACGGGAGAAAGTGTGTGACCATCCCCCCCTCCCTCAACGGTCTTGCGCTTGATTCGCGTGGCATGATAGCCGATGGTGCAGCTGCTAGGTAGATGACGAGAGGACATGCTGTAATTCAGCCGTCGCGCTCCTTTTCACCAGCAACCATCCGTAGAGCTCATTTACTAATCCTGCTCTATATCAGTTTAGGGTGTTAAGACTTGACCGAATCTGAGAGAATTTTGCCGACACTCTGTCAAACAATTTCTCAGTAACGATCCGACATGGCGACACGAAATCGAACAGCCGTTTTTATAAAACATCGAGATTCTCTCAAGTCAACTAGGCCAAACGCTGGAGCCGCTCGCGATCTTGATCAGGTGGAAAAAGGATGGGGAACGGGAAGAAAAGGAGGAGGCTATGTACAACTAACACGGCTAGACACTGGAGAGAGGTATGCTCGACACAGCGTAACGTTATCCTTATTGTTGATTGAATCTGGACACGATCGGTGATTCAGCCATGTCTAGCTGGTGCACAAATCCTGCTGGTTTGTTATGCTGCCGAGCCTTCTGATAATAGGTTCAACAGTGGCTTTCCAATCTTGTTTTTCTCACATGCTCTGGTACAGGCTTTCAGCAGGGACGTCAGGAACAGCATCGCAACCAGCTGCTTCTGGTGGTCTGGGAAGCCCAGGGTTACCTCCTGTGTGGGTAGACGTGTCTGACAAAATAAAGGACGATATGCAAAAGATTAGAGGGAAGATGGGTGAGCTAGCGAAGGTCCAGGCACGCGCGTTGCTACCGTCGTTTGATACGGACGATGCGCGGGGGAAGAAGAACGAGCATGAGAGAACCATGGAGGTTCTCACGGCGGAAATCACGCGAGCGCTGAAGACGTGCGAGCAACGGCTGCAGCAGCTTTCGCGAAAAGACGCGACGTCAGCGGGGAATGCTGCCATTGCGCGCAACGTTCAGGTGAGCTGTGAATGTCTAACATGAAACTGGAAGATGCAGAATCGGATTTTGTTACTGAAGAAAACTGGAGGGATGAACAATGACCAATGAAACGCATCTGTTCGCGGGTGCTCACTGAGGTTGTCTGTTTCCCCCCTTACATTTTTCCCACCCTAACCCTCCCTCCTCCACCCCGCCCACCCTCCCCCCCCAAACCGTCCCATCAATTACCCACTTTCTGTTAACAGAGATGCATGGCCACGGATTTGCAACAACTCTCCATGGATTTTCGCAAACAGACAAAGCAGTATCTACGGCGGTTACAACAGCAGCAGCAGCCTCAAGAAAAGGTGTGTATGTGGGTGTAGCAGAGACTGATTGGGTGCGAGCATGTACACGAGCGATTTGGTTGAGGCAAATGTGGGCATAATAAGTCGCTTCAGAGACAATGAGAGAGGGCTCTCAATTAGTACCACCAAGGTTCGGGGCTTGCACTCGAATCACTTCCTTGAATTTCCCTCCGTTCTCATGTCTGGTCACTTGCTTTTGGTTTATCACTATGTCTACCTGCCTGTGACATTGCAACTGTGCGTGTCAGGCTGTTCTGGGTCGTGCTGCCGCTGGTGGGTCAACAGGCAGGCTACACGAAGCATCGTCCAGTGCAACGCAAGCTGATGAGGATGACTACTTTGACCCGGTAAGCGCTTCTCTTTTCTCCTCCCTTGTTTTCTTCCAACGCCTCCCACCTGCCTCTCCTCCTTCCCCTGTGTTCTTTCAAACTTCCTCTTTCTCTGCCACTGTCGCACAGTCATGCTCCTGCTGGCTCATCCGCCCCTATCTGTTCCTTCTCCCCTTTCACCATGTACTGTGTCATTCTTCCACTTGTCTGCTCTTCCCTACCCGCTTTCTCACTCCCCTTTCTCGCACCATTCCCTGTATTCGACTAAGTTGCCATTTATCATGCAACTCTGCACTTGTAATCAACCGCACATCCCACCCCCCACATACACACTTTCTCCGTCCCCACCATTAGTATTCAGCACTGAATCATTGTGAGAGTTATCACCATTATTAGCGTACCCAATACACATTTTAAGTGTCGTTTGAAGCAGCATAATCAGCATCATCCGATCAGCATATTCGGCATTGCTCCACCAACGATATTGGCAGCATTAGATCCGCACTACCTGCATCTTTCAATGATCACCATCAGTGTTATACCATCAACTGATTCGCATTTCCAATTTTACCTGATTAGCGTAATTAGCATCATCCCAGCACCATCCCCTTATCAAAACGAACAACATTCAATCATCAATCACAGCATCCACTCCAATCATCAGCAGCAGCATGTTACGATTGGCATTATCAGCATCATCTGATGGTACTGAACGTCTGCATGGCTGGCTTGCAGGAGTTTGAGGAGCGGCAGCTGCTGCGAGTGAGGCAGATGGAGAACGTGACAGCAGAGAGGGAGAAAGAGATTCAAGAGGTGAGAAACTTTTTGGAAAGGTGTCAAATTACATTTGCTTGAACCTTGAGCTCATGCTCCTGTACACTCGCAAGGCATTGCTCAGTAACTTCTTACTCTTGTGCTTCCTCTTCAGCTATCTTTGTTTTCTCTCTCCACTGATTAAATTACTGTCTGTTATGAATGGTTGATCAGATTGTGCAATCGGTGCATGACCTCGCCCAGATAATGAAGGACATTTCAGTCCTCGTCATCGATCAGGTGTGAACACATGACACGTTGCTAGTTGTTCCCGCTTGTGTTACACGCTTTTGTCGCATTTCTTCGAAGGTGTCTGAACATGGCATGTTCGGTTTTTGTGCTGATTGGTGTTAATATGCTTTTGGTGTGCAGGGAACAATTGTTGATCGAATCGACTACAACATTCAGAACATCAGTGCAAACGTCGATAAGGGTGTCGAGGAACTGAAAAAGGTAAGTTGTGTTTCGGATGCCAGCATTTTTAGTCAGACACTTTTATTTTCTGTCTGTTAATTTCCTAACATTGCTCGGTGCTCTGCTCTTCTATCGTCTTTTCTTGCTGCATTGTCACATTATCTCATTTGTCCTTCCTCCTAGGCTGAGAAGTCCCAGAAGCAATCAGCTCTTATTTTCTGCATACTAGTCCTCGTGGTGGCGGTATTGGCGCTCTTTGTCATTCTCATCCTCAAGAAGCTCATATTCTGATGGCACCTGAGTGTGCTATGGCGTGCATTAGCTTGGCGTGCTGTTGGTCCATTTATACAAAAGGATAAATATGGTATGGACAGGTCTGGCACATGGGCCGGGCTCTCTTCCAAACTGACCAATGTGAAGCAAACTAGGTTAGAGCAAAGCAGCGGATGCAATTACATATAGGCTCTTTTGCTGTCCCATAGCCTGTGTCTGTTTGTGGCGCATAGTCTAACCTGAGATTGGCAGGGCGCAAGCTGAGCAAGCTGTAAACCATATGCTCAACACTCCAAATGTATTTGAACCACATGAAAGCCGCATTTTTTTTTACACACATCCGCTTTATCCGCAGCTCAAATATGAACTATGGAGGAAAGCACTAGTTGAGGCTACATGTAAGTACACAATTCTGTTAATGTCGAGAACAAAAATCGGTTGCGTTTCCGAGTCGCGGTATTTTCGAACTTCAAGCAAGCAGCGGTTCGGCAAAGGCGGGATACATCCAGCCGCTCCACCCCCCCCAGACAATTCGTATTCCCCTGAAGTGTACGCGCTGCGCACTTCTCCCGAACTGAATCTGCACTGCGCGATGGACAACGGGGCGCAAGCAAACCGAAACGCAAGTCACAAGCAACCGCCATTTTCTGCGTCGAATTCGTTCATCTCCGACTCTCCACCTTCTCATCAAACTCCTCCCTGCCCGCACCAGCCCACCAGACGCGGTTGCTGTTCCCCTCCATCAGGCGCACCCCCAACGCCCCCTAGTCACGTGCACTTTTTTGTCATTCGGGTTGGAAACGATTGAATGTCTGGGCATGGAGGAAGACATGTCTGTTCAATATGTGAGCGCGCGTGGAGGAACAGCCCTCTTATCCACATCGATGAAGGGTTCCAACTTCCAAGTTGCTTCTTTATCCGTGCTTCTCTACTCTCCAGAACTGACAGTTGCTTTTTACTACTCGTGGCATAGGATGCATTTGCCTTCTCAAGCCGCTCACTTATAACTTTCCTCATTTATTTATCACCACAAAACCACGAAACTGCTTCAATGCTCTGAGCTTAGCTTACGCCGCGTGTCGTGGCCGAGAATAAATTTCACCTTATGTGGCTGATTCGTTTGTCTCCATTATAAGGATGATGGCCAATGGCCTTCAAGCCACGACGCATCGTACAGATTAGAACCGCCATGGTATCTCTGATCCACAGAAGTACCTAGTACTACCCACTGTCTGGCTATTAATGGTCTTGGTTGGAGGAGACACGGTGGATCGGCTGAAGGGACAGGATCTGGCGAGTCGAATCTGCACCACCAGTGGCGATGTCAACCGTACATAGCGCGATGGTTTGTCCAACAACGCGTCTATTTTAAAAGTACAGCTTACGGCTTGGTACGATACAGTACCGCACGGTGCGTGCTTCGCAAAGGTAGAGCAACAACGGTGCAAAGCGAAGGCCATAGGACGAGAATTACCCACATGTCCAAAAAAACCGCTTTTCTTATCCACTCCGATCGCGTGTGTTTCCAATCATATGGTGCCGTGATGCGTGTGTCCATGGCGGTCGTTCCAGCGAATAAACTGCCTCTCCACCTCAGTAGCCCCGCTATTCTTTGTGCCAACAATAAAAACCGGAAAAACGTTGAGGCGCTCTAGAAATTAATTTCATTCAGGCACATGCTGCCATGATGCTTGTCCGTAGCGGACCTTCCAGCGAAAATGCTGCCTCGCCACCTCAGCAGCACCTTGCCGCGGAGCAATCCTGACGTGGTACACATGCCAGCAACGGATCCGATCTAGATTGCGCCGACGTGGCACCGCTGCACCCTGCTCCGTCGCGAGGCTTCGGCTCGGTTTCTTTTCACAGTTATAGAGATTCCCTCGCGAGTAGGATAACCATTCTTACTGCCTCACTGACAAATTTCGACCACCCATTAATCGCTAATCCACTCCTCCATCCAACTCCCTCCCTCTTCTACCGCATCCACTCCCCCATCTCCCAGTCGCATCGTACGAGCATGATGTTCTTTGCCTCTGAAGGCTTCTTCCGTGGAAGCGTCGCGAGCGAGGAGCTGACTGGGAGAAGGGGTGCCTACAGTAGTAGTACACCTACGTGATACTGTACCGTGCCGCAAGGGATGATCCCATGCGACAATCAAAACATGCCGCATTCCGCCTTATGCTCGTCCCCCAATCCACTATCAATCCATGTTCCCCGCTTCCGTCTCTCTGCGGAAATGACCCCACATGTCCCCTTTCCGGCGCTTCCGCTTTCCCATTTCGGCATACTGTAGTCATGAAGTCCTCGTGCGCCGACATGCCCCAACCACCGCCGCATCCTTCCACCCCCTCGCCCCCTTCCGCCCCCAGCCCTCTCGCCCCCACTCCCCCTTTTGACCCAACCCCTAGGGATGCGCATACAGCAGCAGACGAGCGGCGGCAATCTTGCCGTGATTTTGCGTGATGCTTCCAGAAGCCTCGAGGGACAGGGGACAGGGGACATGAGGACATCACTAGAAATGGCACAGGCCAGTCGCCAGTATCAAGTGGTTCCTCGCTGGATATAAAGAGGGGCCGAATCTCCTCGACTAGCATCATGCTTTTCAGCGCTTCCTTGTTCAATTTCCTGCCTCTCCCGCTTCAGGTCATTCAACCCACGCCTTCGACCTGAACTCTTGCATTCTTCTTTTGCAGGTTCGACCCAAAGCCCACTAGCACTCATAGACGTCTAATCTGGGTAGTGCTGTGAAGGTTCAATACATAACCATCGCAGCTTTGCTCGTGTACCCACGGCGTCTGCCAGCGCATTGCGTGCAGTCATGGCGGTGGCTGGAATCCGAAGCTGCCACGTCGAAACAACACGGTGTCTCCTAGGCGCCCAGCGCGGGCGGGATTCCAACAATCCTCACGAGCACCTCTACAGTCGCCAGCAAGCCCATGCCGTTTTTCCAAACCTGAGCTTTGGCCAGCACTGCCAGCCACAGTTGCAGAAGCAGAAGCAGAAGCAGAAGCAGAAGCAGAAGCAGCAGCAGCAGCAGCAGCAGCCGGGCGCTCAGCAGCGGCACCAGAAAGGTGCTGAGCATCAGGAGCAGGAAGAGGTTCACCATACTCAGCAACAATGCGACGTAAACATCGTTCACCCAGCGAGGAGTCACGGGCACGAGCGCCATGTGCTCTGCCCGCAGAATCCTCACGACCACGACCACCAGAGCATGCCAGGTGGGCGGCAGCAGAAGCGGCCGGGCAGCCTCCTGTGGCATCACGGTACTGCAGCGAAGAAGAAACGACTCTGCAGGAGGAACGGAGAGAAAAGGGAGCAAGCACCTGCCACTGCCATGAATCCGCGTAACCCCTCCACACTGGGAGGTGCAGCAGGCGGCGGTCATAAGAGTGGCGGACTTGAATTCCCGGCTGCAGGTCGCATCATGCTGCATGCTGCTGTCTTTCCAGGCTGTGTCGGCACTGTGGGCATCAGCCCTGTGACGTGCACAGGCGAGACCCCTACGAGGGTTAGCTTGCAAGTCCCTGCGAAGCAGCAGGAAGAGGTTCTTTGTGATGGTGTGTCTCATGGTGATTCGGATCGCAAGGACTGTGCTGATACCTCTGCCGCCGTGCCGGCTGTCTCACCTGCAGGATCGCCTTCAGTTCTGCCTGCAGCCTCTCCTGTCGTCGCACCTGCCATCTTGCCAGCCATCCCACCTGCACTCCCACCTGCCGCCTCTCCTGCCGCCTCGCCTGCCATCTTCCCTGCACTTGTCCCGGCCCTGGTCCCTACCCTCTTCCCTCTCTCCTCGACTCAGCCCACACAAACCTACCCTGTTCCATCTTTCGCCGGCCTCCTGAATTCCATCTCGCCCGCCCGGCAGCACCACCGCCTGGTTGTCTCTGCCCCTGCCGCCTCTGCTGTCTGTGGTCCCAGCAACAGGCACAACAGAAGGCTCAACAAAAAGCATGACCCTGCGTGTGCTTCAGCAGGCAAGGAACACACTCCGAGTAAAGCCCCGGAGCACGTCCAGCAGGAGTTGCAAACCGGTGCTGAAGGTGCCGGTTGCTCCGTGTCTCGATCCACAGAGACCTGTCTGCTGCGAATGAGCAGCCCGTCTAAGAGCTCTCACACTCAGGAAGATGTTTTTACACCACCGCCTGGCTTTCCTGTTTCACAAGGTGGATCTGCTGCTGCAGTGAGAGGTGCTCGATCCATGTCAAGAAACTGTACTGTATTACCATTAGATATACCCCCCTTGCTAGGAAACATGCCATTGCCAGGCCATTACAGACATGGGACCTGTCAATGTGCTGGTGATGACGAGGAACTGCAAGACACTGCATCCTCGTAAAGGCACCCGGCCATGCAATTTTGCTACTAGGGAGAGATGGGTTTGCCGCCTTCTACCATATGAATTGAATGTGCATGGTGCATAGTAGTTTGAATGTGATTCATGTTGGGCTGAGAATTAGCCCTTAGGATCTTTATGTCAAATGTTGTAGCCTATAGTGAGGTTTGTCTTAGGGGGTACAAAACTTAGGGTTAGCTATATGTACCCCAACCAACATCAATGCATCATCCATTCCTCATTCTGACATGGTATCAGTTAGGTTAGGATCCTGTGGGATCCCGTTCCTCCGTTCTCCGTTCGTATCTCCCGAGCCTGATCCTACCTCTCGTTCGTACCGGTTCCGTTGTTACCGCGCCTAGTGCCGAGCCTAGCGCCCTTCCCCCCGTCGCCTAGCGCCCTTTCCCCCCCCGTCACGTCGCGCCCTTTCCCCCCGTTGCGTCGCGCCCGTTCCCCCCCGTCGAGTCGCGCCCTTTCCCCCCGTCGCGTCGCGCTCTTTCCCCCCGTCGCGTCGCGCCCTTTCCCACCGTCGCGTCGCGCCCTTTCCCCCCGTCACGTCGCCCTGCCCCGTCCCGTCGCCCTGCCCCGTCCCGTCGCCCTGCCCCGTCCCGTCCCGTCGCCCCGTCCCGTCCCGTCGCCCCTGCCCCGTCCCGTCCCCGTCCCGTCCCGTCGCCCCTGCCCCGTC